ATGCTTATCCAAGTCCGGGTCCCGCTCAAGCAGAAGCTGATCCTCGTCCTCCTTTTCGGAATGGGAATCTTCGTCATCGTCGCCGCCGTCCTGAACAAGGTGTACTGCCTGGTCCCCTCGCTGATCTCCTACGTCTACATGAACTGGTACTTCCGCGAAGCAACCGTCGCCATCCTAGTGACCAACCTGCCTCTAATTTGGTCTCTTCTGCGCGACGTCTTCCCCGCCCTCAAGAGCTGGACCGGAGGCTCCAAGCGCGGCACAGATCGCTACAAGTCCGGGCCCTGGACCAGCAAGGGCGGCTCCAACCTTCCTCCTTACGGCCCACCGAGCAATCTCCGATCCGGCGACTTCGGCATGCAAGACTTCCAACGCAGTGCTACCATTACTCCGCAGAAGGCAACTGCTTCCGATATCAGCTTGCCGCCTAGTGAGGAGCGCGATGTTAGCAGTGACGATGGCTCTGCGCGCGCCTTGCGCATTCGTCAAGATATCACCGTGACCGTGCACCACGACTCTCGGCCGATGGAATATGAATCAAATTCCTCGCACGTCGTCCACAAGGCTCACGAGGAGGTCTAATCCACTTTGATTGAAAAGTCTCTATTTTTGTTTGTTTACGAATCCACGAAGTCCTTGCGGACTTGATACCCCTCTAATTTCATTTCTCCTGTATATATTAACTTCTAGATGTGCGTTCGGAATATCGGCCCCGTTTCGGATGACACCGGCGTTACATTGACATAGAGTTTTGAACAGCAAACTTTGTACATTTACCCTTCGTTCTACTTGAATTCCAGAAAGAATATAATCCAATCCCCGGCATGGATAATCTTCGGTACATCCGTTCTCTTAAAATCAAACACCGAATCTCAATTTTGTGTCTGCAAAGGCTAAAAGGCAGAATATGCTGGAGAGTGGCCCACCGATCTCCCGCCTCTTTGCGTCAACCGTTGATCTTATCGCCATCGGACATGTCTAAGACAAGGCAAATGATTGGCCCAATAAGTTAATTTTTGCGAACATATTGTGTCGGGGTTTGAACACATATCCCTGCAAGCCGAGAGCGATTGGTGAAACCCATGGAACCCTTCCAGAAAAACCTCAGCTCGCACCCCTGACGCAAATAAGCCAGTGGCTTGGAATGTCTTGCTTGGACATTGCATGTGCGCCTTGTACACAATAGTCCGCAGTTACCACGGCTAAATGATCCTGGGCTGATCCTCCGACCGTTCTAAGCCTTCTACAGTACTAAATATGGATATATCACCGTCCGAATTCCTACGCCAGGCCTTGGCATGGCCACCGACATCGGTGACTTCATCGAAGAGGTCAAAAAAAAAAAAAGAAAAAGAAAAAGGATTAGCCTATACTGTATGTAACGGAACCCCACCGCGGAGCATGACCATGGATATGCACCGGCATGGACAGCAACCGATGCATCGCCGATAAATTTCATGGTTCCATGGACTGTCTCTCTCTGGACTTGGGGATTGGGATTTTCGCGGGATCGACCGGAGAAGTGACATGATAAGTCTGGAGTATTATCAATACCCGTCGGTCACATATCGGCCGCCTAATATAACACTTATAACACTTATATTGCTCAATTACACTGTATATTGCTACGTGCATAGTAAATTGGAGACACTAAAAACAGTTTCATTGGCCGCGCAATGGCACTAACCAGAGTTTGAGCAGAGTTTCGGCGACCCACACGGACCGCCCTGTATTATCTCTCGCCTTAATGTTTGAACCCCGAAGTGATTTTGGAGCACAATATGGACATGTACACAGTGCGGCAGTCCTAAAAGGCGATCAATCCTATTCGAGCAAGAGCCCAAACGACAGATCTTCAACACTCGCCCATGGATAGACAATCAATAGTGCAACGCGTAACCCCCGGGAGCGACAATGTAAGCGAACACAATATATAAAAATGCAAACCAATCAGAACTGAAATCCTCTATATACTAAGCAAAGTAAGTGGGCCCCCCTTCCCAGCATCGGCAAAACACAAAACAACCAGCCAATACGAGAATCCGAATGCAAGATCGAGTCGCGCCTATCATTGCCCGGTCAGGATGGTGGTAAGCCACCCCAACCCCCTATCCCCTTTCCGTCATTTTTCTCATGTTGTATTGTTGCACTGTGCCTGGATGATCTAATCCTTCCCTGGCCACATCCCCGTGCAAAGCAATACATGTCGGTCTCTTAGATCCGTGCATGGTGGCTCGTGCAACCGCGCCCCACTGGTTTGTTGATGGTCGCCCTGTCGGGATCGTTTCTTCCGAGTAGAGGATTTGGAGAGTTGGTTCTTCATGGATGGAACCTTATCCCTTGGGGTTTTGGGGCGATTGGTTTGGACTTGTACCTGGATTTGGGCTTGAGCTTGCTCTGTTTCACTGTTCGGGGTCGGGTTTACTGTCTATTTGCGGGTTGATACTCTGTCCGTGCATTGGTTTGAAGTTTGGAGTTCATGTGGGATTAGAGTAGCCCACATTTTGGATTTGTCTGTCTGTCTTTTGTTCCGGTAGGTGGTGGCTTGTGCTTCTGTAAGGCTGGGTTGTGTTGCCTCTAGCAGTATCTCGTAGTTCGTCCGATTGCCATGAGGTGCATGAGCAAGCTCTGTTAGTCGATATAGTACCGCTTAGGGAGTGATCTGATCTGCTGTTGTGATATAGGGTGAGACATTCGAGAAGAACGGTTTTGTAGTTCTATGCAGGTACCCTAGTTGGGCAAGTTACGGAGTACAATCCCTTGATGATCTTCGTTCGATGATGTACTTGCCTCATACTGTGAGATATTGAAACAAACCTGTTTGTATGGAAATACACTTTCAAAACTTCCTTCCCTACACCGCCATCCCAACATGCGTAAATCTAGTTACCCAACAATTTTATATCATAGGAAACTTGACACGCTCAGACTATTGAATCTTGACCAAGATCCTGTTCAGTTAAGTTTGACCATATCTTACTTGGAGGATCTGGCCACCGTCCGCCGCACAGACACTTGAAGCCCACAAAGCGCAGCCTCAAATTATTTTTGAAGCTCAACTGCGTACGGACCCTCCTTCCGATCTGGAACTGGATTTCGATTTAGAAGGGAAAAAATATGAGAAAGTTGTTTCGGGTCAACGGAAGTAGTGGAAGTAGGGCGAGGTATTTGTATTATTATGAACAGACCTCCTGGATAGAGTTAGACTTATGCAGGAGTAAAGCAAAGTACAGTAAATTTTGTTGGTCATTAACTAGTGGGGACTAGAATGACTAGAACACACGTCCCTGATGTTTGCATGATTCATGTATTCTATCCTAAGGCATCACTGAGAATTATTGAATAATTGAATACTACGGTACCTGTTGAAGGCGCCACGGATAAGCGAAGAGAGGACTTTACTAGTCAACCTACCGATAAATGCTAGGCTGGGACTATGTCTATTAGCTCATGGTAGAAATGGTAGAAATGGCTTTGGTGCATTCTCATGCCAGGGTAGATATCAGGAAACCTGCTCTCATTGTATTTAGCTGATGTGAGGCATGTCACTAGACATGGTTGAGAAATGATCAATTTTATTTTCTATGTGTAACTTCATAATCCTAAGACTATTAAATGGTCAAAGAGCTCTTTAGAGAAACTCATCACTCGTACGACGTTCTAGAACCGCTCAGCCTGAGTGGTTGGGAAATGGCAACATGAGGATTGGGATACGTGGGACAAACATGCCAAATTAGTATCACATGAGCGATTCTAAATATAAGTCATTGACTACTTTTGACATTTACCTCTGTCAGGCCCATTGCATGGAATACAAAACATTGTCACCAGCACGCACCTTTTGCCAATTCCGGGGTTTTACGAAGAGATTACGAAAACAGGACAGTCAATCATTTAGCACTAACAGCCGTAGATAGTGACTTAAATAAGAGAGAATATCGATATACTGTTTGTATGCAAAAAGGCCTCCTGTAAGGCCGAGAATCGTGGAAAATATGATAAGTAGATATTCTATGTCGCCCTTGGCTCCTCCGCGTCCTCTTCATCTTCTTCCTCTCTAATCTTCACCCCCATCCTCCATACACTAGCACGGCGAGTGGATGACTCGCGCTGTTCCTGAATAGGCAGTAAGTATCTTACGCCTCCTTTTCCTCTTCTTCCTTTCTTACCCTCACCACCACCCTCTCTACACCAACATCGCCACGGAAGGCATGTCTTACGTATTACATCGGCGAGGCTGAGATACAGGCAGCTATCTCTCCTTTTTTCTTCAGTTTCTCTCACCTTACCTCTCGTTTTATCTCTTAACTTGCCTTCACTTTTTCGTTCACTATTATCTTCTGACATTAAACTTACTCTGTAAAACGCGGTCTCGGCTCCTTCAAAATTGTGCCTCATATACTAATGACATCAACTTCATTCTCGTGCCGGGAATGACAGCCTCTTAACAGAGCAAGGCCCAATGAACCCTGTATCTCGCTGATCAGACGCCAATATTTTGCTTTGGATCTTCAATTTTGAGATTTCTTTTTCGCCTCTCGACATGTTCCCCCAAAGGAGGATCAAGACGAGCTACAAAGTTACCACCAGCGCTGATTGACAGCAGCCAAGCAATGCATATTTCTCTGTGTGGCCCGCGTGTGAAAGAAGCTATTCGAACGTCTTCTCTTCAGCGCTTCATCCTCGAACTTCGGAGATTCAATATACATATTTGTTACCGAAAGTCCAAAACCAATGTCCATCCATCGTCCATATACATCAAGAAGATCACTAGATCCGAATCTGCATTCAAATAAGCGAACGATATGCCCGGAAAGTCCGGCAAATACCATGTCAAATTTGGTCTCAGATTGAAGCCGAAACGTGACGCGTTTCCCAGAAAGACGGAGCGAACGCCTATGATGCTAAAAGCACCCAAAATCGAGACCTAGCCCACCTCAAAGTCTGTTTTTGCTATGTCCCGCACTAGCGGGCATCTCATTCTGCTAGTATCGGACCAAATGGCTCAACGGCCATGGCTGTCTGAATTCAAAACCATGGTTGATGCCGGCCTACAGGCACTCGATGATGCAAAGTCCTCAAATGATCGAACCAAAGTCGCCCAAAGGTATATGGAGGCCTTCTTCAACCTGCGCAAGGATACGAGCTCGGCAGACGAAGCCTTCGTCAAAAGTGAGTGGTTTGACGCCTGGAAGACTGGGCTCGCTTACAGGTCAAGCTGCTAACTTTACCTCAGACAGCCTTTTGGAAGTGAAGAAGTTCCTAGACGGGACGTTAACGCTATCCCCAACCCCACGCCTGTACTGCAATGACAAATGGCTCGATAAGCTATCGCGCTGGGATGTGGCATACGAGGGTGACAGCTCAAAAGAGCTGTGGGAAAACAGCAATCCTATGGCAATCGCGGAGGTCTCAGCATACAAAAACAGGATTTTTCTTATAGACGAAGATGGCGACAGACACGAGCTTGAGCCCTATTGGTCTGAGGACTTGGACCAGTACCTCTTCGACGATGACTACAAGGGTAAAACTTACTGTTCTTCCCAAAGCAACCTCGGAGCCACACAGGAGCAAACTACACCAAAGACAATCACAATCTGCCCTAAAGGCTTCACAAATCCCAACGCACCTGTCGCTCTTGGGGACAAAGAACCAAAAGGCTTGGAAATTGCTTCAATTCTGCCTCGAAGTGCAACTTTATATCACGAGCTGTTTCATCTCGTACTCGGCAACAAAAACACACCGGATGTGACTTGTAAGTGATGTTGATACTGAATTCAGATGAATCTGTCTCCCCGCTAATAGTTTGGAGACGACTGGGTGAACAACAAGAAATGCAAGAATCACCCGACACAGTGGACAAGCCTCGAACAGAGAGCCGGGCACAGCGCATCCGTCGTAACCCAGAAACCTATACCTGGTTCAGCGTGGGCTATTGGTACTTTTTGCAGACCAAATGGACCACAAAAGCCAATCAGCGATGGACCTTTGACACGGGCGTCGCCAAGTTGGTTTCAATTCCCTGATAAGCATTGAGAAAGGAATCAAGCCGTTAATAGGCCGAACAAGACCCTACGCTCATCTGGTGGCGGGTATCTAGCCCGAATCAAACTGAGCGCCCCAGTGAGAATAAATTAGAAGACTAAGTTCCACCCGAATTCATGGAATGAAGCTCGGGTCATGCTCGAGTATTACGGACAGCGGTTGCTTCTTGTAGGAATCAGGAGTCAGAGATTATGGATGCAAGAACTCAGACCCGGGAAGCTTGGGATGATTTGATCCCTCGCGATTGAATTCTTATAGGCACTACTAACGTAGTAAATATACCTTTATGTATTAATTGCGAGTATATTTCTAATAAAGATAACAATATGGTAGCATTAGGGCCCTGGTTTCCTTACGAAATAGGTAAAGCTATAGGAAAACTTGATATAGTTCCCTTCGCCTAGAGGAAAATAAAGCAATAATTTCTTAAACACAATCTAATGCGGATACTCATCTGTCGGGGTGATTTCACTAGCACGATTACCGACCATCAGTGTCATTGGCATTTTTGGTCTAGCGGTAAACCCCCGCTTTATTTTTAGCTAAACTGAACTTCGCGCCAAAGTGTCCGGTAGCAAATTTCTCTCGTTGCGGTCATCACTCCGTGAGCCCTCCGCTGTTGATATCACTTAGATATCGCCTCCATCCAGTTGCCCCTCAGAGCTCTCCCACAGTTCCCGGTCATCTGCTGATACTATCCGTCCCGCATCGCAAAATGGCACCAGTCACGAGAAGAGCGGCCAGGAAGGCCTTGACTCCTTTAATCTCGACTCCTCCAGTTCTGACAACACCCGAGGTTCTAGAAATGATTCTGCTTCAGACCGATATGCGCACTCTTCTGACATCTTGCCAACGAGTCTGTCGAGACTGGCATGATCTAATCACCACGTCACCATCGATTCAAAAGTCCCTCTTCTTCACTCCAATCAAAGAATCCGAATGGGGCGCGGGAGAAAAGCTCCCCAATCTACTGCTAGCAGCGATGTTCCCTACCATTTTTCCTGCTAAGGGCGACCCACGCAAGCGAGATTTTCACTTTTCCGATTGCGCGATGGCCAAAGATGCCGTAAGTTTGGATCGGTTTATCCAGAAAAATGCTAGCTGGCGTAGGATGCTTGTGCAACAACCTCCTATCTTTGAGCTTGGCCTTTTCCACATTGATTCCGGCAGGGGTGGCGATAGCGCTCTCTGCGTTAGTATACCCGTTAGTCTTGCAATCTATCTAAAATTAGGATCTCCCGGCTAACACGGTGTGTTTAGGCGAATCCGACAAAGAAAACAAATAGAGACGAGGGCCTTCGAATGGGAAGACTCTTTGAGATCTTGCTATTCGATTCGCCTATTCGAATTGGAAGGTTCGGGAGTACACGTCTGTATTGGTCAGCAGATGAGCCGATTGATTTCCATTCGAGTCAAGAATCAAATAAAGACGTATTTCATCGAATGCTTGGTCAAGTGGGTTTGGTTCTACATACCAAGCAAATAATCCAGTGTGCGATGGGTTTCGGGCGTGGTTTTAGTGGCGTTAAGACGACTAAGATGGAAATTATTGAGGCGTATCGAGAGCATGGCTTGGACATTGATTCCCAAGCAGAGGAGATGAAAGCCCGCAGAAGGTCGGCGAAGGAAATAGAATGGTCGGATATAGATTCGGATGAAGGCGACTCGGAAGATCTTGATGAGTCGTAGGGAACGGTCGATCAAGAAATCATAGGTGTTCAAAATGCCGGGATATATCCAGTCACACTGTTCTAACTTATTCAAATGCGGTCACTGCGCCAACGGACACCCGACCTAGGAGTGTCCGTCGACGAAGGGGCAAGCGATACCAGTCAAGTGCGCCAATTGTGGTGAAGGGCATCGTCCTACAAGTCGAGAATGTCCGGTGAAGGTTGCGGGGATGAACGAAGCCAAGCAAGCGCTTGCCAACTGCCCTGCATATCACCGTATTCCTATGCACTTCCGAGTGACGGCAAGCACCGGTAAAGAAGCAACTTCGACTAGGGCGGACCCAATGTCCTCGAATGGACTCGAAGCGTCGATACACGCTCCGGAGGGGCAACGGGGGGAAGAGCCCCCGCGGAACTCCTAGGATACTGTAATCGACGTGGAGGCTGTAGCGATAGAAGTAGAAACATCACTAGAGGAGACCACTAAACCAACTCAGCCTACTCAGCTTAAAAAAGGCCCTAGCCGCCCAAAGGGCTTAAGAACGAGGCTAAAGAATCCTAAACTAACGGTGATACCGCTGGCATACTAATGGTTAACAAGGCTCTAAGCGGCCTCGAAAAGGCGACGTATAGACGAACAACTAGACGACAATAAATGGCTTAGCATTTAACCCACTCCGCCCGATCTCCCTCACCCTAGCACTTAGCAGGATAACTAGCGTTACTTAAGGAGCGGTTTCCTTACTTATATAATACTTAGGGCGTGCTCAGTTTCACTTAGTGAGCAAAACGCGGCAAGGGGTGAGCACTAAAACGGAAAGGGAAAGCCAGGTCGTGCGGCCTAAAATCCGATATGTGTGTATTCACAGAGAGGCAATTGATGTATAGCGTCAATGCTATGCACAAATGCTATCTGTCTTAAATTAACATGATCAAAGTGACCACCGAGTCGTATGTGCTCAAAGGTAACAAGCAGAAAGCCACAAAATTAAACAGAATAGACATAAGACGAGAAAAATATAGAATATAAAATGCTAGGACCAACGCCATGCCAAAAATGGAAGCAGGAAAAAGAAGATAAAGGTCATCAAGGAAAATGTAAAATCGTGAATCATCCAGAGCTCAATATGTGCAACACTTTTTTGTACTCATGTTTCAACAGCACAAGTGGAAGATTGACATTCCATTTAATCATCGTACAGATCGGGCATGTCAGTCTCCATCTCAGCTGCGAGGTCATCCGAGTCCATCATGTCATCATCGCTATCACTGCTTTCACCTAGCTCGTGGTTAGGCAGGACCTCGATGCGGCCGTCGCGCATGACGACACGAGCATTCTCGCCATCTTGTATACTTCCGCGAAGGATGAGAACAGCGAGACGGTTGAGGACCTCGCGTTCGATGAGACGACCAAGAGGACGGGCACCGTAGGCGGGAGAGTAACCAGCCGCACCAAGGTAGTCCTTGACTTCCTCGGAACAATCGATGTAGACGTTGCGGCCGTTGTGGTCGAGACGCTTCTGGACTTCGGCGAGGCGGAGGTCGACGATCTTGCGGATCTCGCGCTTGGTGAGACGGTTGAAGATGACTGTGCTGGAGATACGGTTGAGGAATTCGGGCAGGAAGTAGTCGCGGAGAGCTCCCATGACCATCTCGCGGGTCTGTGGGTCGATGCGGCCGTCCGTGGTGGTAGGGCGGGCGAGGAACTCGGCGCCCAGGTTGGAGGTCATGACGACGATGCAGTTCTTTGCGTCGACGATGCGGCCTTGGCCATCGGTGATACGGCCATCGTCCATAAGTTGGAGGAGGACAGTGAGAACTTCCTTGGCGGCCTTCTCGACCTCGTCGAAGAGCAAGATGGAGAAGGGGCGACGGCGCAGACTCTCTGTCAGCTGACCGCCAGCATCATGACCAACGTAGCCGGGAGGTGCACCGATCATGCGACTCAAGGAGTGTCGCTCTTGGTATTCGGACATGTCGAAGCGGATCATGGCCTTGGGGTCGTCGAAGAGGAACTCGGCAAGGGCTTTGGTGAGCAGTGTCTTACCAGTACCAGAGGGACCGCAGAACAAGAAGCTTGGAGGCGAGTTGGGGTTACTGAGACCGGAGCGTTGGAGTCGAATGGCGTTGGAAACAGAAACAACAGCCTCCTTCTGGCCGATAACAAGCTTACCGAGGGACTTCTCCATGTGGAGCAGCTTGTCCTTCTCCGTAGTCTTGAGTCTGGTGACGGGAATACCAGTCCACCGGCCGACGATTTCATTGATCTGATCGGGGCCAACAGCATCAGCAAGCAATGCCTCGCCGCCATCGCCGGAGTTGGCGCGGCGTTCGGCATCAGCCCTGGCGCGGTCAGATTCAAGACGCTCAATGAGGGTCTTGGTCTCTGGAATGGCATAGTACTCGAGATCGGCAGCCGTTTGAGTGTCGCCTGAGCGTTCGGCTTCGTCACGCTTGACCTTCAGAGAGTCGAGCTTGATCTTGGCGTCCTGAACTTCTCGGCTGCGCTGCTTTTCGCTTTCGTACTTCTCGCGCATGGGCCGGAGCTCCTCCGCAACATTAGCAGCTTCCTGCTTGGCAGCTTCAAGACGAGCCTTGGATGCGTCGTCTTGTTCACGCTCCAGTGCATGGATTTCGATTTGGAGCTGGCGAGCCTTTCTCTCAAGTGTGTCGAGTGCTTCTGGCTCAGATTCACGAGTGACGCGGACTGCTGCTGCTGCCTCGTCAATAAGATCGACAGCGGAGTCGGGAAGTCGGCGGGCTGTCAGGTAGCGTGAAGCAAGAGTAGCGGCAGTGACGATGGCACCGTCAAGAATGTTGACACCGTGGTGGACTTCGTACTTTTCCTTTAGACCACGGAGAATGGAGATCGTCTCTGCGACAGAGGGTTCCTTGACCAGAACTTGTTGGAAACGACGCTCAAAGGCCTGATCCTTCTCGATATACTTGCGGTACTCGCCGAGAGTGGTAGCACCAATGCAGTGCAACTGACCACGAGCGAGCATGGGCTTGAGAAGGTTGGCAGCGTCCATGCCGCCCTCGCCGCTGGAACCGGCACCCATAAGTAGGTGGATCTCATCAACAAAAAGAACGATGGTGTCCTTAGAATCCTCAATCTCCTTGAGAACACCCTTCATGCGCTCTTCGAATTCTCCACGGTACTTGCTGCCAGCAACAAGTGAGCCGACATCAAGAGAGAGGAGACGGCATTGGGCTAGGTTGGCAGGAATATCGGCATTGACAATGCGGCGGGCCAGCCCTTCAACAATGGTGGTTTTACCAACACCAGGCTCACCGATCAGCACGGGGTTGTTCTTTGTGCGTCGGCTAAGAATGCGAATAACTCGTCGGATCTCCTCCTCACGACCAATTACGGGGTCGATCTTACCCTCACGAGCCAATGAGGTCATGTCGATGGTGAATTTCTTGAGGTTCTCATTCTCGCTCTCCGCGTCGGCAGTCTTGGAGTCGACGCGGCGCGTACCACGGATTTGCTGGATGGCAGTGTCTATTAACTTGAGATTTGGAATATTGGCATCGCCTAGAGCACGCTGAACCTGTGAATCTTGACACACCGACTGGATCAGGTGGTCAACGGCGACAAAGCTATCTTTTTGTGTTTTGGACAAATCGGTGGCGGAGCGGATGACTTTCGCGAGTTGAGGAGAAACACTGGGGTTCTCTGGTGGAGGATCTTGACTTGGGAGACGTACGAGCAACTTCATAAGCGCTCGATCGAGGAGTTGGGAGTCGCCGTGGGCGCGTTCGATGACTTGGCGGAAGAGGGGTGCGGTAGCCCCATCATGAGACGCATGGCCCACGGGCTGCTGGTCTTCAGATTCACCTGGGGATGGGTTGAGGAGAGCGACTGCCAGGTGTAGAGGCAGAATTTGGGAGTGGGCGTACTGCTCACACAGGCTGCTGGAGTCGAGCAAGGCCTTGTTGGCCCGGTCTGTAAATTGGGCGCCGTTCATGTTGAACGGTATAGTGGAGTGAGATCAGCTAGGGTTTGGATGGTAGCTGAGAATGGACTGTGAAGTTGTCAGGAAATATGCTGGATTTGGTATGTGAGTATGTAAATTGGAGAATGTACAGGTATTTCTAGGAGGAAGCAAGTTCATATAACTCCAAGCGCGTGGGCTGCCCGAAGCTACTTCAAGGTCCATGACGCCACTACCAGCTTCCACCGCCTTCCAGAAGCTGCCCGAACCAAACTGATGACTTGGTAGGCGACCTGTCAAATGGGCTCACCGACTACGTACTTGTCCCACTTTGCATATTGGTAGATGATGTCAACACTTATGGCAAAAGATAAGGTGATAGTTGTAGGCAATGAGAAAGCACACTGAATGACATGCAATGCTTTAAGTCACGGAAGTATGTAGATTTTTGACCAGCAGAGTAATGTACATTTCTTAATCATACTTTATTGCCAACCAAACATAACAAACAATCTGCCAGCGAGCACCGCCTCCCCACGTGAGACACGCGTCTCACGTGACCGCTGACTAGATTACCACGTGACACAATAAATCGCGCAAAACCGGCGACTATCCAGGGTTGAATCTCCAAGCTCCCCACGTTCGAGAGATGATTCGACCCTGATGCCTTTATTGGTGGGTTCTCCGTTAGAGCTTGCGTACCGGCGTTCCTTGCAGTGGAGCATCGAAACCAGGTGGACTGTTGAGTTGAAAATCAAGACTCAAGATCTTACGATGTGCCACTGACGCCAGCCCAGGCACAACTCCGATTCTTCACGATTGGCCCTGGTTAAAACACGGCTGCCATGCCTAAACACTTAACTCGTTTTCCACGATAGCCGACGGAAAATAACCCAGTCAATGACGTCAAAGCGGGCGATCTAGAGCAATGAGCATCCGAGGAAGCATTGGGTGAACCTTGACTGGGCTCAGACCCCTAGTGACTTCGACCCTGTTGATATCTGCCTTGACATGCATGCCAACCCTCCATCGGATATCGAGATCACACTCTGCCTCGGAGGGGGAGTGGCCGTGGGGCATTTTCGAAACGATGCATCCAGACATGGAGATCAATCTCTCGGGCTGTCCACTAGTCGGTTTCCTATTGGCTTTCCGGGTGGATTCACTCCTGATATGTTTTACCTTGGACTTTGCCTTTGCCCTGACTTGCTTTGGAGGCGCTTGAGAGGGGCAGGGAAAAGTAGATGCGGAAAAGTTCGGCGGGGCAAGCGGAGGAGAGGGGCAAAATACTTTATGCCTTTTATGATTTGCCTCTTGACTCCAGCACCTCCAGTTGGGCGTGAGCTAATGCTGGGCATGGGGGGTCGAGACTAACCTTTCCATGCGCTACCACATATACTACTGTGTGAGGAAGGGGCCATGGCTATACCCTATACCCTATGAGTACCCTCATCCGTAGTAGATCTTAATACTCTTGTATCCATAAAATTCACATCTCCATAATTCTTTTTATTTTCCATGGTAGGCAATGGTAAGCTCTCCGCCTCCCGAGGCTCCAGAAAAAGAAAAACCTGGTTTATTCTTGGAAACCCCAGTGGATGTAGACATATAAAGAGTTTGCTTGGGCCCCATCTCTGCATCTTTCATTATTCTCACGCCATATTGCATATTCTGATACCATCAAGCTGCACTCACATTTGCTGAGGGCCTTGACTGGATACTTTTGACCACTAGTGAAATCAGAGATTTCTCGCGCAGCCTTAACGGCCGAGATTTCATTTACCCACGCTGTAATTGATCAACTTGATCCACCTCAAGTTTATTTACACTTGACTATTTTTTTTCTTCTGGGATAACCCTGCAGTTCACCATTACCCGAATTATATCCCATATCAGGATGTCGAACAAGCCGATCTTTGTGGCTACGCATCCGCGAGCATGCTCGACGGCCTTTGAGCGCGTGAGTGGAGACGTCGAAATCTGATGCTTGAGCTGCAACTGATATTTCGCAGGTCTTCATGACTCAGCGTGACACCATTCAGTGTGTTCATGAGCCGTTTGGCGACGCTTTCTACTACGGCCCAGAGCGCCTCTCCGGCCGATTTGCAGACGATGAACAAGCTCGTCTCGAGAGTGGATTCAGCGAATCCACGTATAGCACCGTGATGGACAGACTCGAACGAGAAGCTACTCAGGTCCGACCCTTCTTTTTGCGAGATTCTCCTTCATTGCGTTCTGCCATTTCCCCTTAATGCTCCTCATGTTCTCCGTCTGTGGATCGAACACGAGGGAAGATACCCTAGCTGTGTCCACACCTTCTGTGTTTCTTGTTTTGCGCCTAGTGTCCTGGTTTCTTGTCGATATACCCTCCCCTCTACACTCATGTAAACCAAAATCGAGCTCCGAATCCTCGGACGACTCTGGATATCCGCAATGCGGAATAGAAAAATTGCACTTTTGTCGAGGGGATACTTACCGTATAACAGGGAAAAAGAATCTTCATCAAGGATATCGACCACTACCTGCTCCCACCGAGTGGCAAGCCAGCCAGCCTGGCTCCATCCCTGCTGCGCCTGAAGCGCGGCGTCGGGACAGACGAGACCAATGGCGAGGGCCACCAGGCCAACGGCGTGAACGGTGTCGACGGCACCCACACCGATGGCCGCAGCAACGGCTACACCAATGGTACCAACGGTGCGACTAACGGTGAGACCAACGGCGAGACCAACGGCGAGACCAGTGGTCACTCGAACGGCCTCAGCAACAGCCACAGCAACAGCCACAGCAACAAAGAGCCCTACCCGTACAACACTCCCGCAGAACCAGGCAACCCAACAGTGATGCCCCGCGAACTGCAAGAGAAGTTCCACTGGGCATTCCTAATCCGCGACCCGCATTACAGCGTGCCGTCGTATCTGCGTTGCACGATTCCCCCCCTGGACGACGTAACCGGGTTCCACAACTATGACCCCACCGAAGCCGGGTACGACGAGCTGCGCCGCCACTTCGACTATCTGCGCGAAGCCGGGCTCGTTGGGCCGCGTGTTTCGACTCGACCGGAGCTTAGCTCTGGCGAGGAGGAGGTTGCTCCCGGTGCTGTTGAGATTTGCGTTATTGATGCTGATGATATGCTTGATGAGCCTGCTAAGACTATGGAGGCGTTTTGCAATAGTGTGGGCTTGCCTTATAGTCCTGAGATGCTCAAGTGGGATACTGAGGCGGACCATGCGGTTGCCCGGGCTGCTTTTGAGAAGTGGCGTGGCTTCCATAATGATGCTATTGAGTCGAAGGCTTTGGAGCAGCGGACGCACGTGAGTTCTCGTACTGGTAATGATGTAGGAGAGTGGTTTGGCTAACCTTGCTTTTTAGAAACGTGCCACCAAGACTGAGGCAGAATTTGACGCTGAGTGGCGTAAGAAGTACGGCGAGAAGAATGCTGCCCTCATCCGCCAGACTGTCGATGACACCATGGCCGACTACCTGTACCTGAAGTCTTTCGCCGTGAAGGTCTAGACTGATCACAGCTGTAGCGAATGAGTTCCGTAGGATGGAATCTCATGGTACCCAGGTGCCAACGATGAAGAGGAGGAAGAGAGTAGTGGAGGAAGAGAGAAGTGGAAGAAGAGGAAAAGGGGGAAGAGGATATCAACCCCAGCTTCCCCAGTTCTTGACCGCTTCCCGTGAGATCAATTTAGCTCGGATGGCGCCATTTCTGGATCGACCGACTCCAGATTGGTTGATGACTCTGACGATCTGCAATTATTTACTTGACTCGTTTACTCGTTTACTTGTTACTGTCTTCTGCTGGTATTCGTTCTTCTATTTGTTATTATAGTGATCGGACCCGATTGGTCCCACTGGATCTACTTTACTTGCTTTTTCTTCTTTCGGAGATCGGATAAGTTACTGTAACTAACGTTATGTAAGTCTCGTACATGTAATTTGTTAAAATTCGGAACTGTTTCACACCTCATTGAAACCAGTGAAAATACTCCGTCGTCCAGATCACCACCCACGTTGCCGATTCGTTCATCAATTTTGCCGGTAAAAAGTTCGATATCCTCTCCTCAGCATTTGGCCTTCACAAAATCTAGGCTGCGAGTTTGAAAGCTGATGTGTCTAGGAAATTAGTGATAGAGTGTTTTCAGTCGCCTTGGAAATTGCTCCCAGAGGCACGTAGTCATTTCAGGGGCTTGATAGATGCTATGGCCTGGAAGAAGATACAGTGTACTTATCGGCGGCCGCCATCTGGGGTTAGGGGTTGTATGCGCTTTATGAGGGAATTAAGCTCCATCGCAGCATGCTCAAAGAACAATATGCTGGCACGTATGTGATCATAAGATATATCGCAGGTATGCGAAATATGTCTTACGTCGGCCTTGGACGCGCCTCACTATATTCCAATAACTCGAACTTTGGAATCTCATATCTTGCAAAGTGGACTTATGAAGAGCAAGCACTTTCTAGGAGATGAAATCATGAAATATAAGCAAAAAGTCAATTCCTTCCACCCTCCTCTTGTCTTCCTCTCCTCCCTTCCCTATGACATGGGTTACAATATTGCAGCAGCATTAAAAGAAACAATGCGGTTCTTCATAGGAATGATCCCATTTCAGCTTGCAAATGTTGGGAAAAGTTCCCCTGTCACCCGGCTTTATCCAGTATAGTCACGAGTATGTCGTATGCGAATTGTGAAACAGACTTCAAGAGGCTGTTCGTCAGAGCTTAATCTCCCCCGTCCGGCGCCTTCGTTCCTTGTTCCTGCTGTGCTCCCTCGCTCCGCAATACCTTGATGTTCTTCATAGTAAACCGGACGGCAAGATCTCGCAGGCCTCTATAAGTTGCGAGAGTAGAGTTGTAGATCTCCATGGTGGCTGTTCGGAAGGTGCGCGAATCAAATGGTTTGAATATCTCTTTTTGGGATTTACAACATGCGAGGGTCTTGAGATCTTTGATGAACATCCGATCTGCTAGGGAATACAATAAAATGTGGAAAGACAGATGTTCCCATAGGTTGCTGATCCTTCAGATTGCCCTCGATAGTTCCTTATCCCCTTACTGATGACTCGCTAGTAGAAACTGGCTTCACGTCGACATCGGTGCCGGTAGTGCTATGTATTGGCTCACTGTGCTTCGCACTATAGTCGAGCGTCATCTAATGATCGTACTCTATTAAGGCCTGCAGATATATCATCAACCGGTCTTCCAATTTTCTATAGCCCTATAGGTTCAAATTTAATACCTTACGTAAAAAAAAGAATAGATAGGTTACCTGGACGAATCAGCATGTTATGCGTGCGTTCTGAGCGATTTTATGCAAACTGCGAGTATAAGAAATATAGCCCACAAGCACAAGGTAAGGAAAGCCGCATTTGCCTCCAAAATATACACCCATAGTAGTAGCTACTAAGGGAACATAAGTACGGCTACTGTTAACCTCCAAGATAATATATGTTTGAGACCTAAATGCTAATCAACAGTGTATGCCCCAGAGCTTATAGGTAAAGAATAGCACTAACAGTATTAACATACCCCTCGCCTGGTACGAGTCTTTTCATAATGGCAATCCAGTTCCTGTGCTTTTGACTTCAGGAACCGTACGCTTATGTGGTGAAATGTTGATTACGTGGCTACCAATATCAGTCATTAGGGAAATTCCCAAGGTCGGAGAGTCCTTCAATTTGCTTGTTATTCGGAAGAGCGAAACTACTTAAATCTTGCATGAAATTAGCGCACCTGTTGGTTCAGTGAATGAAGATCAACTGAATCGCTACTTGTTCAATATGTGTGCGCAGTATGAAACAGATCCACAGCTGCTGTGGCTTATACCCAGGCAAGCCAAAATTGAGACTGGGTTTGCAGTTGTAACCCAGTCTTCCCGCTCACAGCAGCCGCAGTAAGACTTGCTGGGACGCTGTAGTACCAGCCACAATTATGGCCTTTGCTTACCTTCCATTGTCTTTTGCGAGGAACAATAGGAGAATACTTGGGGTCTAGATCAGATACGAACAGCAGCACATGACCTCTGTCGGTGTTGTTAGGATCCACTTCTTCTGAAAGTGGATGTGGAAAAATTCAGGTTGTCCATACCACAGTCCCTGATACAGGGTTACCAGAACAGCGGAGTCACAGGGATGAGAAGATCCACTTGGCGGCGGAAGTGAGCAAGCGCGTGTCCCTGCACCGAACGTATCTCGGTCTTTTGATAGCTAGCTTTCAATTTGGTCAATAAGAGAGCGGCTGCTGGTCAGCCTGCCCATACAAGTAAACGTCAGTCAGCTGGGCATAACTTTAATTCTGACAACATTCCGAGTAACTGGGCGTAGTCTAACTAATTACCTCGATGCAGCTCTTTTCTCAGTCACAAGAATTTCCTCCTGGTGAAGCAAATCTGAGGGTCTCAGCTTAGCGCCCAGAGTTTTCTGGTGGAGCGTAGCGTGGTATGCTTAAGTGTAATAAACGTGTAAACTATGATGGCTGTGGTGACTAAACTATTGAGTGTGAATTAGTAGAATAATACTAGATAATTCTTTATTCGCGGCTCGCTTAATGATGCTTGGTCTTATATTTGAAGACTCAGATAAGACCACTGCGACTGCAATTTCAAAGAGATAGCCGGACGAATTAAGGCTCACTATGCCCTATATTGCCTACTTGAGTCAAATAGTTGTCGTTTATCACTCCAGATTTCGCTCCGGAGTCTTTATTACCTAGTCCAAACAGGAATATTTTACCACACACTAGCCTGGTTGCCAAGGGAGACTCTGAATGGATTTCAAAAACATCAGGGACGGGAAGACTGGTCACTCTTTGTCTTACCTGGACTGAAAAGCGACTCCCGAGCGCTCCGTAGTAAAACCTAGGTCCAAATGACTTCGTTTATATTCCATGTGATATGTTGCAACACGCCAAGACATGCCTAAGAAGCCCGTAAGCAGACTCGACCACAGGGTCTCAGATTTAGGTCGATTTTCCGTTTCCGAAACTAGCTACATCCTATGAGACCTAGCAACCAGGCACTAGATCTCCACAGTGGCTACGTTATCGTTGGCAATGAATGAAAAGGCGATATGCGGAGAGAAAATTTTACAAGTTCTGGTATCCTACTCTTGTGTGCATGACTTGGCAGCTGTTTTGGAGATGGCACGCTTCAATCAGAGTTCGAAGGCTTGAGATGCGCGACTTGATTCCCGGAAAAGAGTGTTGGCCAAGCGCAAGACAGAGCGGGTGCATGTTTAGCCCGACGCTTCAGGCTGACAGGCAGATTAGTCTGCGGTTTGTAAGACGCTAAATAACGCTAAATGTCGGCCCTGCAGATGGCGGGTTCCTTCGGGTTTGCCGAGCCGAGGATAGCTTCATGGTCCACTGTGGCAGGTCCGGTTAATTAAATTCGTAATCAGCAGGGTTTATCTGATGGGCCCTGAGAGCGCCGGTGCTTTTGGCCTCCAATTTGTATATTGAAGCCCATCATATTTCCTAGACGCGTTGCCTATTTTTCTCCTGTATGGTGGAGATCCAGGAACGCTTGGGATGTAATTGACCGCTCATCAGACGTAGCTGACGTGAGAATAAAACTGGACGTTGAAAATTTGCTGTGGTTCGTAATTATGCACAATCCCTGCAAAAGTGCATGTTCAAGTCACGCCGCTATTCCGGCAGCCCAGTCTACCATTTGGATGTAATACATGCAAGAGGCCTACTTCACCTTAACCGTTGTACCTGCTATGTTCACTTTCAGCCTGTTGTGAGAAAATCTTCCACTCTGAAACTCCGGCCCCGCAATCTTCGGTCTCAACCATTTGTGCTTAATAAAAGACCTGCCTTGCATTACGGATCCAGTGGCTTGTTCCGTGTCCATAACAGCGGCCTTTACCCCAAAAACAGCACATGGAGTCCCGGCTAGTTCTCTCCAATCTGTATGTCTCGAAGCGCCTCCTGTGTAGTGCCGGTCAATATGCACGATAATCAAATTACCGACAGTTACTAAAGGGGAATATGGATCAGGATCTTAACATTAAATATGGTTTTGTGGGTCTTCGCTAGTCAGGAGCTAGTATTGTCAAATTTGGAGATCAGGGTAACTGTGATAACTGTGACAGAAAGCGAGTAACCTACAGACTGTAATTCAGCCAGAACATACCCATGCGGTGCAGCGGGTTTCTGTAAGTCATTTTTCCGGAATTGTTGCAAAGCCAATAGCAACGTAGTCACCCTCAGCTTTATAGCACCAGCAAGGTTCAAGGGATCTAGAAACAGTCTCAATTATTTTCTCCAGGCAATGCGACGTGAGACTAAAGAACCGTTAGACTACAGATTATTCAGGATTAGCAGTGATTTCTAAGGGCTGAGTGGAGCAGATGTCAGCCGTGCCCAATCCACTTTAGGCCGTTGCTACCCCAATCATCTACACAGGTCAAAATAAAATTTGGAGTCGATATCCCAGGATCATAGTCTTGGGAAAGAATAAATCATCTATTCTCTTGTCGGCCATCAAACTAGAACACCGAATCCCAACAATGAAACCGGAATTCATCTATACCATCCCACCGGAACGAAGCTACTGCACAGCAAGCCCAAGAACAAGCTAAAAACAGAAAATGCCTTCCAAATCAATAGTCACTATCTTATAATCTCACCACAGTCCGTAATATGACGGTCTCTTTACGAATCCCAGTCAAGCCTCATTCTGCAAGCCAAGACTTGACGGTAACCGTTCACGGATATACCTCAAGCCTAGACAGCACGCACTGGCAGCAGACAGCGGGCAACAGACAGCACTAGCATCTCCGGATAGAGATAAGCTAGTGGCGGAGTGAGGCGAGGTGAGAATTAGCAAATCTTTGGTCAGGATTACGGGACGTAAGAACTGAGATGGAGGAAATTCTGGTTGAGGGTCTGGGTATAAAGTCGAGGTCATTCCCATGCAATTGAAGGGCATCCAGATCAACACCTTCTACTCTACTGTCTTCCTTCGACTCTTCAATATTCCTACAAGATGTTCATCTCCGCTGGTATCAAGGCAGCCCTGCTGCTCGCCGCCTCCATTCCTGCCCAGGCATGGAACAGACTCGACAAGGACAAGGCTGTAAGTGAACCTATTCTCAGTACCACTTAGCATGGCTATTTCCCATCTTGGATATATCCAAACCTGACTGACAATTGCAGGCCCTCCTGGTCATCGACCACCAAGTCGGTCTCGCCCAAGTCGTCCGCGACTACGGCACCAACGACTTCCGCAACAACATGCTGGGCCATGCCTCGATTGGCAAGGTCTTCAACCTGCCCACTGTGTTGACCTCGTCCTCCGACCAAGGCCCCAACGGCCTGCTGCTCAAGGAGATCACAGACATGCACCCCAATGCCACCTTCGTCCGTCGCCAGGGCGAGGTTAACGCCTGGGACAACGCCGACTTCCGTGCTGCTGTTAAGGCCACTGGAAAGAAGCAGCTTATTATTGGTGGTATTGTTACTGAAGTTTGTACGTGTGACCCTGAACATATGATATATCAATTCCAAGACGAGTGAACTATACTAACTGAAACACCCAGGCACCTCCTTCCTAGCCCTCTCCCTCATCGACGCTGGCTACGAAGTCTTCGCCAACACCGATGCCAGTGGCACATTCGATATCCGCCTTGCGGAGGATGCGAACCGCCGTATGGAGAAGGCTGGTGTTACTCTCATGGGATTGTTCGGTATTGTCTGTGATCTGATGCGTGACTGGCGCCACACCCCTGGTCTGCCTGAGCTTCTTCCCTTCCTTGACAAGTAAGTTTTGCTCTATCTTCCACGTTGTTTCAAGGGACGGTTTTTCTGACTGCTGTGTGTAGGTACCAATTCGCCTACGGTCTTGTTGCTCGTCACCATGCTGGTTCTATTCAGAATGGTACCATTGCTCCCGTTGAGTTGACTTTGATCTAAGTCTTTTCTGCAGGGAAGTGATTGGTTTGGAGGAGGTGTGAAGGGGACTGACTGGTGTAAAAGAGATCGGAGAGAAATTGGTGAAAGTGTGATATATATGATACATATGTGCTATTTTATCTCAATTGGTAGAAACCTAGCTCGATCGAGATAGCATATTCAAATATCAGTGTCACTTTTGAAATGATGCAACTCTGAATATTTTTAGGCACCATACAAGTACTATTCAAACAAGTACTATTGGTCTTGTTGGAACGTGTTTGATTTAAGTTTATTCTCACAGCGGCTTGACTAGTCTGGATGTCGAGGCGGGCGTCAAGGGGACTTGGGGAGAAGAGATAGATGTGACAACAAAAGCGGGATATATATTTTGCCAGTAAATAACTAGCTCGGTAGAGATGCCTTGCTTCAATATTAACGTTCTCTTTAAAACAATGCAAACTTGAATAATTGGGGCCGGTTCGCCATCGCTATAAACAAACTAACGATGCAAGATATAATCCCATAGTAAGCCCATACGTATGCTTAGAAGGTAAGTATATACAGAAGAAGGAAAAGAGCTATGAACATGATTCGGGCATGGGTATCGGCAATGCAATATTTGCAGGACAAAATGAATCCAATGACAGCAGACGATGAGAGATGATTGCTGTGGTTTGAGGTGTGCCGGATAAAGAGTATCTGTTATACGGACCATATTCTATGGCCGTAGACCACTAAAGATGCATGTGTAGGAGGTGGCAGTAGGCAAATGAGAGATAAGAGATGATGTCGCATGATGCGCCAAAGACATAAAAGCACCGAAACCCCAATAAAAGAAGACAAACACCGCTTCAAATAATGCTAGCAATCGTCATGCGTGAATGCGCCGAGCTAGACCTGCGATCCGAATCCGAAGTCGCTAACTCAGGCGCAAGAGTCGATCCCGAATTCGTAGGAACCTCTTGGCGGGACTGCCCACCCATAGGCGTATCTCGTTGAGAATAAGCCCTCTGCCGCTGCTCGGTGAAGAGCTCTTGCACAGTTTTCTCAATCCACTCCCATCCCTCCCACTCAGTGTCGCGCTCGTGCTGAGCTGGGTGACCCCCTGAAACAGGCGTTGACCGCATTGGTGACATCGCTTCGAGTTGAGATCCTGTTTCGCTGCCATGCCAGACCCAGCTTCCGTCGCTGGTTCCTTGCATATCGCCTGAGACATAGGCCATCATTTCCTCGTCGCGTTCTAGGTCGATGCCGTCGCTGCGGCGGAGTCGGGAGAGGAGACGGCGGAGGAAGAAGGAGAGGTAGCGGCCGCAGGCGGCGTTGACTGTGCGGACGTCGCCGATTGAGGCAAGGGCTTGGACGCAGGCTAGCGCGCCGGCAAATTCTTGTCGGAAGAGGAGGAGGAGGGTACAGCGCCAGATGTGTGTGCAGAGGAGGGAGCCGGCGCCGGAGGCGAAGAGGGCGCGCGGGTCGTTGTTTCCTGCTGGGCCTGGGGGTAATGCGTTTGCGTTTGGGTAATTGCGCATGCAGCGGGCGAGGATGTTGGCTGTGTCGAGGGCTGTGGAGACACAGTAGTCCATGGCGGAAGAACGGACGATATCCGGGCAAAAAGGGGAGATGTTGTGGCGGTGGAGGAGGAGACGGGCGTTTTGTAGGTATATTACTGGAGCGAGAGAGCGAGGGTCAAGGTCTTGGTCTGTTCTTGGGTGAAATTGGGAGGGGAACGTTGCGAGGCAGGTGTTGAAGTGAAGTTCGAAGGTCTCGAGAGTGGCGGGGCTGATGGTGGCTGACCGGAGGGTTCGCGTGAGTTGGCCGATTGAACGGACGACGTGGATGGTTGCTAGAAGGGGCGATGTTTGCTGGCCTTCGGGGATAGGGCCTCTTTCTGTGATATATTGTTCGTCCACGGGACAAGGCAGGTCAATGTCGCAGTCTTGGTCATTGATTAGAACTGGCTTGCCCATCTCGAGAGCGAGTAATCTGAAACAGCTATGAGCTAGGGTTCATCCAGGTACTTGGGCATAACAAACCTATCCCAAGCGTATAGTCCCCACCATACGCGCTTTCGCATCTCCCCTTCGACCGCTGGCCAGGGTCCTGACTCAATGTGCAGCCCCATCTCTTGAGCCACGCGCACAGCTGAACCAATCCATACCCAACTTGCTGACTTCGAGTTCACCTCGTAGAGGAAGATACTGGCAAGCAGCGCAGCCCGAGCTCGATCCAGATTGAAGTTGTCGTGCCAAACATCGATGATGCCGCACGAGGTGCGTATGTATTTCTTGCCTTGCTCCTCCCGATCCAGCTCGTTGGTGTGAATAGCACCGCAGGCGAATACTCCAAAGAGAACAGCAGCCCATTCATTCGAAACACCCAACAGCGACCCCGACCGATAGACCTTCTCATACTCCGCCATGAAGATGGGCCAGTGGAGCACCGGAAGCACCGAATGAATGCAATTGAAGTACTGCGCCAACAGATGGTCCGCGAGAGTCTTTGGAGGTAGCTCTGGCGCATCACCAGTAACCAAAGACTCAGGACACTGCTGTCGATAAGGCGTAGGAACCTTCAAGATACCACGACCATAATGTCGCAAATTGGATCGCACATCCGAGAAATCCTGAGCAATAGGCGCCTTCGACCGCCGCACAGGACGGTACTCAATCTCCGGCAACTTAATCAAAGGCTGCGCAATGCCCTCATCGACATCGACCATGCGATCAGGACGCATCATGCCAGTCTGCAGATGCTGCAATTGCTGCTTGGTGTTCTGCAACTGCTTCTCCAAGTCCTGCACCTGCTTAATAGACGACATACGGCGATTCGTTTCCTTAGTAAACTGACATCGCACCTTGCGATTGTTACATTCCGTGCAACTAGACGACTCCGACGCATCGCATTTGACCTTGCGCTCGCGACAAGCGTCGCAGCTGGGATCCTTCCTACGCTGTCGATATGCGCGCTTTTGCTGCAGCTGCGCGGGCGTTGGCTGCTGCCCAACGGGGCTGGTTTGGTACAGACCCGGACCGCCCGGTACTGAGCCCAGCGGCGCGTCGGGGAGCGCACCGCTTTCTGCGGGCGACCCGGAGGCGGAGTCGTAGAAGCGCGAGTATGGCGATGTCGCAGGGGCTGGGAGGTGTTGTGGCATCGGTTGGAGTAGATGAGCCATTCGCATCCCGCTGTCAGGTCTGCTGGGCGGAGCGGAGAGCAGCGCCGGGGCCGGAAATGCGCCGGTCACTGATTGTACGGGTGGAAGGTCATAGGGATTCGGGTTATTCCCCCGAAAATGGGAGGGCTGCATGGTGTTGGGATGGAAACCACATTCAAGGTTGGGGGAGAAGAGAAAAAGAGAAAGGATATCGCCACAGTGCCTAGGCTATTCCTAGAAATGCAAGTGTTACGGTAAGAAGGCCATAGTCGGGAACGAAGAAAAGAGGCAAAAACAAGAATGTAAAGGAGAAGAAGAACCAGATCGGCGGTAAAAGCAAAGATCGTGGAGAATATTAATATTAATATTAATGTTAATGTTAGGGATTTAAGGAATCTTCAGCCGAAATGACAGCGGGACTAACTAACCAACTACACACTACACACACCACACTCTATGCTCGAGGTCAGACTTCACTTTCCCGAGATCGGCAGTGGCAGTGTCGATGAATACTCAAAGCAGAGTGCTCAGTCATTTCTTCCATGGCCCACCAGCGGGCTGGGATATGAACCTTGTCTTCTTCTCGATCCGGTGTGCTTTCTGGTCCACCAGTCCTAGTGGATGATCAGAACTGGTTCGGCGTCTGAGCAGATCCCGGAGCCCGTCCCCTGAAGTCAAGAGTGAAGATCTTGTCTTGTCTATAATCGTATGTCTGAATGATCGACTCGGTAGGTATGCACCGGACCACATGGAAGCCCGGATGGCTGGCCCGGGCAGTGGGACCTGGAGCCAATCTTCTCTTCAACAGAATGCCGAGCATCTCGCCTATCACAGCCGAAGTGCTAACGGGTTGCCCCGAGCTTTATCCGAACGTTTATGTTTCATCTGTGCAGGTCCATGTATCTTGAAGTCCTCGAAATCACTTCTCTGGACCCCCGGCGTTCCCACCCTAATAGGCTTGGTGCCGAGCACGGAGTATAGCTCCCGTGCCATTCCGCCATGCCTTGATGCGCTGGCCGTGAAATGCTATGCAGGAAAACCCTGCACAGACACTCAGCCGCCCCTCCCCCTTCTCCATTATGGGCTAGTCCTCCGTCAATCTGTCCTATGAAGGCTCGGAACTCCTCCGATCGGCTCACCAAGCGACATCTGGCGCCCTGATCGACTCGTATCGAAGGAACAGGCTTATTTGAATTTCCCCGCACAGCCTCGGTTAGAGGCAATTCGAGGAAAACAGGTTACATGTATAACGATAATCCACCCGAACAATGCAAGAAGGGCTCGGGGCGACATTCCTTGGAAAACAGGGGGTGCATGCACGAGCTTAACCATAATGGAGTCAGAACTCCCCTCGGTTCGTCCCGTCGGAAATATTCTCCATAATGCAGGGGTTTGGAAGCATGGACCTGCGATAAATGAGCCAATGATCGGGTGAGAAATATGTCCCGTTCGGCCTAAAGGAGTCTTCATTTCCTGGCAAGGAGATTGCGGTGTAAATCTCAACCCCTTTTTCAATTTGGTCTGCCTTCTGGGCCAAGCGGAGACTGTCTACGCGTCGAGACTGATCATCAGGCGGTCTCAGATGATCATTCAAGGGACGTGTGGATATCGGACGCCTCCGACAGGGTTCTGACGTAGTTAACGTCCCATAGCATAGTTAAGCTATGCAAATACATGTACATGTTCATGCTTCACGCGCGTAAATGCAGACCATTCATCTAAACACTCACATGTATTTTCTACAGGTACAGATGTCTAAACCTCAGTTCGCCCCACAGCGGGACAACGATCTCGAAACTCACCCGCTAACCGAGTCATTCCGATTTGCTCTGCCCTGCTGTCGCCGTTAACCTGAGACTCCCGAGGCCTGCCGTCTGTTAGTTCCGCAAATGTCTCAGATTAATTAGGCTTGGACGCTTTGACGTAGGAGATCTGAGATGCCCGGAGTGCCTGCCGAGTGGACGATTGGTCCCTGTCAGGGGCGCATTGTTCGAGTGGTTTATGTGCATTCGTAGTTGTACTTTTATAAAGCCTTTCGCTTGGAGGACCTGGTGGATATTGGAATTTTGTGTTTGTGTTGTGGATCGCGTAAATGTAACGCTATACTCCATACTACTAGTAGCATGTGAAACTCTACTTTTTTCGGTGCTGCCTACTGCTACGTACTACTGCTTCTGATACTCCGACCCTAAGCATGCAAATTGATTGACCCAAGCTTACTTCTATGTGTACTTTCTCAGGATACCCGAGCAATATAATGGTGGGGCCCGTTCGTGTTCCTGAAACCCTGAAACAATGGCATCGGCCACTAGCCATAAGGGCGCAATCCTTCCGATGATACAATAATGCCCCTTAGATCCGATGAATGTACATTTTATCTAACCACTTGATAGAGGGATATCTTTTGCAACTTCGTCACATTACTCTCCGCTTTCAGTTGTTGTCTAAATTGGTAGACCCTTGCTTTTGAGACGGAGCCTTCCACATTGAACTGGACATATATAATTTAGATATCGAACGAGATGAAGGACGATGTTTAGTGAACTCTTGGATGATCCCCATCGCTGCATTAGGCTCTCACAGGGCCCCTTATCGTCCTTGATAAGTTAGATTCTGGGACTGTATTATCGCCGCCTGAATGGGAAGGATGATGCTGTACCTCTGTTATATGATCTTTAATGCTGGGCAGAAAGCATTTATTAACAACAGTGTGACGGCCATGTTTCACCAAGGACCCGAGTCACAAAGGCAGAGATCATAGACTATAGAATATTGTTTGACACTGCGCTGACATGGAATTCCAAAAGTGGTATGCTTCATTAAACATTTTTCTGGGCGTGGCAGTTTAATCTGGTGAAAAAGACACTGCAAATTCCACAAGAGAGATCTCGTGATATTCCGAATACATTTATTTCGCACTTCTAGCCTTCTCCTGTTTATGCTCTTCCCAATTCGCCATAATCACGTTAACAATGCTGGTAAGTCCCTCCATCTCTTCCTGAACTTCCAAGCCCAAGGAATGCGGGTCAATGCTGCAACCGACGTAGACGGGCATGTAAAGCCGTCTAGCCAGGATTTTGGCTATGCGAGTTGTGTATTCGATACTGGGTGGTGATGTGTAGAGTGTGGTTGAGATTGTTGATTTGGGTGACGTGCGCTGTATTATGTTAGAGATATATTTAACAACAAATCAGAGTAATTTCAATGGGAGATGCTCAAGTCACAGGATGCGACGATGCTTGATACATATGAACATTGTGTGTGTTTGGGGTTCAAAGATGGGGGCAGTGCTTGTTTGATTGCTGTTTCTCCAACGGAAAGGGACAATTCAACCAATTTGAATAGATAAATACCCTATCTGATAGGAGTGTAGCACGAGAAATCTTCTTTTTTTACATGATCAAGGAGAAAGACTGATGTTCAAGATACTCACATCAGGCATTGCGTAGACAAAGCTCCCCATCGGCTTGATAGAGCCACCCGAGTCACCAGGTGTAGATGTAGCGAGGAAAACAGTGGCACAATGGTTCATAAAGTTCAAGTGAACATGTGCCGTTGTGTGCAAAGCTCTGGGCAATGTGAACGAGAGCTCTTGAGGCTTGACGCTCGGCGGGGTAAGCTCTGCTTGAGGGATAGCTGGAGACATATCGGTGGCCATCGCTACTCTTTCTCTAGAGAATCAAGAAAGGACGAAACAGCCAACCTAGGTAGGATCTCAAGAGGAATGGCGGGTGTTGGTGATGTTGGAGTCCCCGCCCTCCAAATGTCGGCCAATCCCAGGTGTTTCTGCCTCAGGACGAAAACATCCCACTTATTTTCTTCCCCTCCATATACTCCTTTGCTACTCCATATTTCTTTGATTTATTGCTATCGTTTTGATTCTTAGAATCTAGAATAGAGGGCACAACGCCTCTCGCGTGCAGATTTTAGCATGTCATCTGAGACACACCAAAACCCCCAGACTGGGGAAGAGGAATCCAGCTGGGGAGGTGATTTTGATCCATTTTCTGATCCGGAAGAGCGCAGAGTGCTGTTTGCTGCTTTTGACTCATTCAGGTATGTCGATGAGGGTTGTCCTTGATGGAAATATTGTTGGTCTCAAGCTCCAGCGCTCAAGATGCTCCAAATATGCAGAACCTGAAGTCTACAGACAAAAACATCGGACTATAGTTAACCTATTGATAGACAATATCGGCGAAATGCCCACATGAACACCACACATCGCAGGCGGCAGGCCTTTTATGCCCTGCCATCGGCACACTGGCAGATGCTATCAGAGCCGCCATTCTCTATCCTTGACAACTTCAACAAGGTAGATGACGCTATCGATGTCAATGCTGAAATTGCAGATGCAATTCTTGCAATTGGATTACAATCATTTGATCTTCCTACCAATCCCGACAAAAATAACCCAAAGGAAAATTGGCATGACACAGCCACTTCATCGGACGTCAACAAGGCGCATTCGACGATCCGCCAGTTCTATCGTGACTGGAGCCTGGAGGGGCGAACCGAGCGAGAAGTGTGCTATGACCCCGTCATCCAGGACCTTCACAATGAGTTCCAGGCAAGGCGCGACAGCGGAGAGGAAATCCGCATTTTGGTTCCTGGTGCCGGTTTGGGGCGTTTAGTCTTCGAGGTCTGCATGGCTGGCTATGATGCCGAAGGAAATGAGATCTCCTATCATCAACTCCTGGCCAGCAACTGGGTTCTCAATCACACTGAAGGAACGGCAAAGCATGCGCTTCATCCTTTCGCATTACATTTCTCCAATCTACAATCTCGAGCGCAGCAGCTTCAGCAGATCATGATACCCGACGTGCATCCCGCCTTGGCGATGCAGGAGATGGCCAACTCAGGCCGTCGCTTTGGAACAATGTCCATGTCTGCAGCCGATTTCACCGTATTATACACCCAGCCCAACAATCAGCAAGCTTTTGACGCAGTCACCACGGTATTCTTCATTGACACCGCGCCAAACCTGATCCGGTACATCGAGACGATCCGACACTGCCTCAAGCCGAACGGGCTGTGGATCAACGTTGGCCCGCTATTGTGGCACTTTGAAAATGGCCATTCCCGCAACGAAAGCGAGGTCGGGCACGAGGAATCTGGGATAGGTGAGCCTGGCAATGTAGAGTTATCCGAGGACGAAGTGTTGAGCCTCGTGGAGCGCATGGGCTTCCGCCTTGAGAGGCGGCCTGAGGATCGGCGGGCTTGCGGCTATATCCAGGACCCAGCGAGTCTGCTTCAAAATCTTTACCAGCCATCTCACTGGGTGGCCCGCAAAATTCCTGTCTAGGCTCTGTCTAGGGGAAATTGGGCGTCTGTAATTAGAAATGACAAGGCTGTGCGGCTTTGCCCCCATGGTCCTAGTGCTTGGGGGCCAAAACGAACAAAGAACACATCTGAAGCAATTCCATGGTAAAGGCATTCCTTAGTAAAAGATAAATGGCATTTGAAGCCTACTGTGATATATGTAGTCCGTTGCCGAGTAAATTACTCCGTATAGGCAAATGTATACAAAGTACCCCGCGGGGGAACCTACAAACAAACGGTGAGAGAGTGTATACAATTGCAGAAAGAGAGAGACGGACAAAATTAAACGAATATACAAATGTCAAGTATAAGCGAAACTCGAATTCGGTCTTCATTCTGCCCCTTCAGACCCTTCAACCCTTCAAACCCTTCAAACCTCCCGTTCTTTCATCTCCCTTTGATCTCTCCACCTCGTATCCTCAGCCTCACTTTCCCCTCTCTTTCACCTTTTTCCCCTTCCCACCTTTCTCGCCTCACATGGACCTCATGAGTTCCCGATTCAGGTTCAACTTCAGGAACAAGAAGAATCCTCCCCCTGCGCCGATTGTCCCTGCGAGTACGTCCCCCAGTTCTCCACCTTCCGGCCACAGCTCGTCAACAACAAGTCTCCCAATGAATCAGCCACCCGGGGGTTTGGGCCGACCGCCAAGTTACACCATGAACAATCGCCCAACCAGCCCGATGGTACAACACGGTCAACACCCCGCGCCCACAAACGCCCCATACACCCAACCTGGTGTGCCCATGAACACTGCCCAAGGCTACGGTATGCAGCAGCAACAGGTAGCCCCCAGCATCCCGACGACACTGTCGACTTCGCAGTACCCCGGGCGCAACCCCGCGGTGGAGGTCGAGGGCGCGGGTCGCAGCAAGGCACAACTCATCGTCGGCATTGATTTTGGAACAACATTCTCCGGTGTCGCATTCGCATTCGCGACCAACAATGAAGCACGGGAAGACATCATCACCGAGTGGCCGGGTGCCGGAACTCACACGAAACAAAAGGTAAGCATGGCACGAGACTCGCGAACGCGCTTGATCTGACTCGCGGTTGCCTGGCTAGATTCCCACCGTCCTCTATTACGATCAATACCAGAAGGTCGTAGGCTGGGGCCCCGATATCGCCGACGCTCTCGCCCCGACTGGATACCCCAAGCCTGGTGTGCAAAAGGTGGAGTGGTTCAAGCTGCAGCTGATGCTGTCCGGGAACACGTATATCGATCCCATCAACCTGCCCCCACTGCCCCCGGGCAAGTCTGAAATCGATGTCGCGGCCGATTACCTTTTCAAGCTACGACAAGCCATGCGCTCGCAGTTACAGAAGACACTGGGTGAGGTGTTTACACGTGAGGAACGCAACATCCGGTACTACCTCACTGTGCCGGCTATTTGGAACGACGCTGGCAAGGCTGCGACACGTACTGCTGCTATTCAAGCTGGTTTCTTGCGCGACGAGAACGACAACCGACTTACGTTGGTCTCGGAGCCAGAGGCGGCGGCGCTGTTCTGTGCCAAATCTGGTCTGCTTAACCTGAAGGTGGGCGATGCCATCTTGATCGTGGATTGTGGTGGTGGTACCGTGGATTTGATTGCATACGAGGTCGAGGAAGAGTCGCCGTTCAGCGTGATGGAATGTACTGCCGGGTCTGGTGACTCGTGCGGTTCAACAGCACTGAACCGGAATTTCAGTAACATCTTGCGAGCGAAGATCCGTAAGATGAAGCTGCCTGATGGCTCTCGGACTGCAGGCAAGGTATACGCGAAGTGTATCATGGACTTTGAGAACCGCATCAAGGCCGATTTCCGTAATAACGGGCAAAAGTGGGCTGTAGATGTGGGTATTGAGGCTGACTTCCCTGACGCCGGCATCGAGGAGGGCTACATGACCTTCACCAATGAAGAGATTCTTCAGTGCTTTGAACCGGTTGTGAACCGTATTCTCGAGTTGGTTCGCAACCAGATTATCGCCATTCAAGCGCAGAACCGTCTGCTCCAGGTAAGAATCTCGTTTCTGTTTGACATGCCAGCACTAACCCTGCTATGCAGAACGTTCTCGTTGTTGGTGGATTTGGTGCTTCAGAATATCTCTTCCAGCAGATCAAACTTCACGTGCCACCACAGTATCAGACCAAGGTGGTTCGCCCCATGGACTCTGTGGCTGCTATCGTCAAGGGCGCTGTCACGGCAGGTATTACCGAGCGGGTCATCACCCACCGTGTGGCCCGTCGACACTATCTGATGGCCACGCTCCAGCCATTCAAGGAGGGCTACCACCCAGAACAATACCGTGTTCCCAGTCTGGATGGCCGTGACCGATGCAAGTACACTCGTCAGATTTTCGTCCAGAAGGGAGAGCGTGTCAGGATTGGCGAGCCCGTCAAGGTCAGCTTCTTCCGCCAAGTTGCTCCTGGCGCCACACTCATGTATGAGGATGTGCTGTACGCCTGCGACGAAGACGTCTGCCCCGAGTACACCAAGGATCCCCGTAAGTCAAGCTTTCTCTGTTCTTGATCTCACTCACTAAACCTTTTATAGGCATCAAGGAGGTTGTCACACTCACATCCGATCTATCGCGCAAGAACCTAGAGACCGACTTTGAACGCATGGACACACCGCAGGGCATCTTCTACCGCGTCTACTTCGACATCTACCTCACACTAGACGGCAGTGAATTCAGCGCCGAGCTGGTTTGCCAAAACGAGATCATGGGCCGGTGCCGCGCCAAGTTCCGGTGATCTCCATCGCAACGCAGCCAAATCAGAAAAATTAAACCTTACGAGGAAAAACATAAGGGTGACGCCGTATATAAATATCCTCCCGGACGAGGACAATGACATCATCGGTGAACAGTGGCTATGACTTGGAGTTCTTGACTTTCTTCTCTAATCTTTTGTACCGTTGTGGGCGAGAGAGATATCCTTCCACTCCAGGTCAGGGTCACTGGACATCGCTACACGGAAGAATAGGCGTTTATCTGTGATGATTATTCGAGAATCCTGTGCCGTTCATAAATATATGCCACAGTTGTTTGGCTATTTCATGTTGTTTCTTATTGTTGTTTGGCGGTCCCTTTCTTTCTTTCGATAGCCCTCTTAGATACCTCTACCTATTGTGTGTTTTGTTTCAATGATATTGACAAGCTGAGTTTAAGCTTATAATATTTTCCTTAACATGATCACCCGTGGGTAAAGGGTAAAGCAAAGAAAGGAAATAAACCATCCCCTGAAAGGGAGAAAGGAAGTATACATAAGTCATCGAATGAATGCCATCCGGCTTTCATTGAATCTAGCTAGGTAAGACTTGAAGTTGGGTCGAAGGACATCACTCCAGTGACGATTTTAGACAGAGAAATGAAAAGGGTTAGAGACAGGGTCAGAGAAACCACACTTAAGTCTCCAGGTTAATGCTCCTTCCGAAGCGAGCATACAAGGCAACCTTGAGCTGCTGCAGCTCCTCGCGCAATTCACCCAGCGTATCCTCTAGCTTGGACACGTCGGTGTCGATTTGCTCTGTGGATGCGGAGAGCATGCTCTGCGCATCGGGTAGAGGTAGTTGGAAGAAAGAGTCACCGATTTTGTAACTGGAGACATGTTAGAAAGATCCATTGATTCACTCATTCCTTCGCTCCCTTGGACTTCTGTCCAATGGAAGACAGAAATGAAAATAACCAAAAAAAGGAGAAAAAGGAAAAGGAGAAGGATATCAACTCACGGGACAAGCTCGTCCTCATCAGCAAGTTCAAGCTCCATCGAAACCTCCTCTAGATCCTCCTTATCCTTCTATAAACCAATTAGCCAATCCCATGTCCACCGTGACATTCAATCATAGGGATATGGTATAAGATATGATACATACCTGCTTCCCCTTCAACTGCTCCTCAAGCAAAGTCTCCCGCTGATGCAGCCGCGAAAAACGATTGATCTTCTCCTGGTCTTCGCGGCGGACTTCATTCTCGTCGCCGGCTGTCGCCTCATCGGCTTTTGAGAGCTGCGTGTGGGCGCGTTAGTCTGGGCGTCCTTCATGTGGATTTGGCGGGGTGAGGGGAGCTTGTGTGGAGGGGTCGTGCTTTACCATGCGTGGTTGCACCATCTTGGGTGTGTTGGATGTTTTATTTCTTTGTTTGAGCCGGGGAGTGGTGACAGAGTGTACGCTGTGTACGCTGTGTGGCTGTTTTGTCGGTTGGGACTTTGATATCGGGTTTGAGTGGGGTGGTCCGTGCGCGTTTGGCGATGCGGACTCGGTCTATACTCTACAGAAGGTGTAGATTGTTGGAGATATTGGCTGCTTTGGTTTTGTTCTTTCTGTTTTTGTTACTTCTGTCGTTCTAGCTTATGCTATATGTTGCTGAATCACTACCGAGGTACATATTAATGCTGCTATATGACCAAGAATACTGCTGCTAGCCGGCTTCCTGGGGATGAACTGGAACCACTGTCGACTTATGGAAAGATAATGGCATTCGGAGTTGGATTGAGCAAGTTGGTTTATATCTACATCTCTATATATATCACTGCTGGCAGCTGTAACTACAAGATGGTCAAGTGACATCATCGCGGTATAGTACATAGGCACCTGCCTACCTACCTAACAGGTAAATAGCTTCACTGTCGATATCTGAATCGAATATAACCCATTAAGAGAATCAAAACGTTACTCTTCCAGCTTCCTCTCTCCGATTTCGTCGGTATCATTTAGGCGTGTGCTGCCTGCAGCCGCACCGGAGAAACGAAATACCTCCCGAACACCGTCATCCTCAACTTGATACCCAAAGCACCCGTGGACCTTGACTGTCCCAAACTCCCCAACTCCCCAACTCTCCATTTCTCGTCATCTGTGCCTGTGCACCGGTCACATTCACCAACCCGGTGCCCATCCTCGTGACCATCCCCACCCAAGCTCTCAAGCTTCTCCATCCCGCGCGGGAGCCTCAAATCACCTCCGTGGGCTCTCCCATCAATCCTCTTCGTACCCCTCACAACGAACACAATGCGAATACAATCAAGTGGGGTCTCACTCCTCCTCACCGCTCTCGTCCCCGGCCTGGCCTCGGCGTCCGGCTTTGATTGCCAACACATCAAGGTCGACGGTTACAAATATGACCTCAGCCCCCTAAAAGGCGTCCACGAAGTGACACACGGCGTAACAACGGACGATTTCGTTACCAATACAACATACCGCCTCAATATCTGCAATATTCTGGGTTCAGCAGCCCATCAGGGCAAGGCCACGTGCGGCGCGAGCAGGAATAGTACGTATCGAGGTGATCGCGAGCGCGAGCGTGTTGGCATCATTACACTGGCACCGGGAATCCCCACTGACTATGTTTTTACTCACTCTAGTCTGCGGCTTCGTACAACGGTCTCCAAAAGATGGAAACGGCGGCACCGAATTCGGCTTCCCGATCGTCGGACTCGACCACGGTGGTCATGGCTCCAAGGACCCCGAAGTGAAGCGATTGAAGCAAGATAACCCCGACTCTGAAGGTCTCCTCGTTAAGCTCGCCGGTGGTGAATACAAGGGCGATGACAACGAGCAAAAAGCCAAGGCTGCAGGTGCTGTCATTGAATTCCAGTGTGATCCCGATAGATCCGGACTGGAGGGGTTGCACACACTCCAAGATACACTGGAAGATACACCGGCGCAGATTTTGCGACGTCTTACGGCTACCGCGGATGAAGGCGAGACGCCAAAGAACAGCAGCCTCCAGTTCAGGAGTTTTGGTCCTGCAGATGATGATACCTATATTCTGAGATTGGATTGGCGTACTCGATATGCCTGTGACGACTACCAGAAGCAGAAGGGAGACTCATCTGGCTCGAAGAGCTGGGGTTTCTTCACTTGGTTGATTATAATGTAGGTTTTATGGAACTCTGTCTTCCCTCTATGCCGGAATTGCTTGCTGATTGCTCCACACAGTGCCTTCCTCTGCACCGCCGCCTACCTTATCTTCGGCTCATGGCTAAACTACAACCGCTACGGCGCCCGCGGCTGGGACCTCCTCCCGCACGGCGACACCATCCGCGATGTCCCCTACATCTTCCAGGACTGGCTCCGCCGTGTGATCAATACCCTGCAGGGAGCAGGCTCGCGGGGCGGATACAGTGCAGTCTGATAGGGCTTTGGCGGGACGATTGGATATGAGTTGGCTATTATACTCTTATGTACTTTTGACTCAAGACACAACATCTTTTTGACCAGGTTGTTTGGCCGGGTTTTTCTTGGCTTCTTTTGCAAGTCAGGCTTGCAAATGATTTCTGATGCAATGCTTTTTATGGCGCTAGATGAGGGTGGGTTTATATGTTGGTCATAACGAATGACATAAGATCTTTCTGAGTTATTGTCTCCGTTTGCGTGTATTTTCGTTGTTATTTCGGGATGTTGTGGAGAAATGGGATTTGAGTGCTCTGTTAACTACTCTTTCACATGACCCCCTTGCTGGATGTCCCTAGGCTGCCCTGCGGGGACCCTGCTTGATCCTTTCCACCGCTATAGCTAACCAATCCCTCAATCTATCAGTCCCGGGAACCCTGCCTTCCTTTCTTGATTTGTGGCATCCGGCAGCTTCAGCGGGTATCCTTCTGATGGGGTTCCAGAGGATGCCACTCTAGAATCCAGGGTTTCACTTGGAAATTGCCCAAGGCAGCTAGCTGCTCTCACCTTGCGGGTCGATTTGTGTTGTTTCTTGGTCCAAAATAGCTATTGTATATTCCAGAATTTCTGAATTACTGTTACAAACTAAGGGAAGCTTCACCGTGTTGATGACACCCAGCGTTCTGAATTGGAATCAGAAGCCCTTCTATTGTATGTCAAGGGGCATTGTGTGACTTGCCTGGCCCCTCACGCTTTGATATTTCAACTTCGTTTATCCTCCCTCAGTATTAAAGCCAACGTAATTCGGATTGCTGCCGAGCACTGTCACATTGGCAAGGGAACTTGATTCGAGCACAAGTCTAGTCCATGCTAAGACCAACGGCGCGGAAAATGAAAGGCACTCTACCTGTGATCCACATCTTGCACACTTGATCTAGTAGTTCCGCCCGAGCCTCGGGCTCGGACTTGCAACACAATCTAGATTTCAAAGACATGCAGGACAAAATTGTTCTGCAGTCCACTGGCTCGTTATTGCCAAGCCTTTGATTGCGTTGGCTTGATTGATGCTCTTGCATGGACGACGAAATGAAGGACAATAGCCGGGTCAGTAGGAAATCTCCGAGTGCTTGAACTACATCTCGTACCGATGTGCTTGGCAGAGAAGTCGGGATCCGAAGATGAGATCTGGGGAAGTTGTAGAGTCGAGCACGGAGCCAATAGAGGTGATACAATTACTTTCCTGCCACTCCTTACATTCAGGGCATTCCCATGTCTCCCTTGCTACTATCGTTCAAAATCATATCACTGCACCCTTCCGGCTGTCTAACAAAGTCTACTAAATGAACACGCGGGAGAGGTTTTTCCCGTCAATCTCAAGCAACGACGATCCCTGCTTACTTCTTCAAGTCTTGCAACGCGGGTGCAACCGATAGGTCCAATGAACAGGAAGATTAATCTCGACCAATGCAAGCGCACTGTCTGAATGGATAGCACCAAAACAGAACTTCCTCTTACTGGAGACTCGACTGCTAGCTTGCTTCATCAGATAAGATGAAGTCCTTGGCGCGGTGCCACTACTCTAGCAAACTACGCTAGTAATGGGGACTTCATTACGCAAAGGTGGGTTTGGCGTCGGAGGTAAGAACTGTGCTACAGCCCTGAAAGGAAATGATCGTTTATTAAAGGATTTTATTGTTTAAATGGTACGTTATAAGTATGAAAGTACCGTCTAGAAAACGGCGGCTTCTGTCGCCGTGCTGTAGTCGTCTGCTCAACTGTTAAGCACTCGCCATGCATTTCTCCACGTCCGCTGCCTTATTAGGCTTGGCTCTGCCCACGGCATTGGCCCTTTGCCCTTATGCTGAACAGGTGAAAGTGGACAAGCTGAATACGCCACCTCCTCACCCGCATACACCGCGCGATTTGCCCAGCTCAGATAAGAAAGGCATCTTCTACATGAATCGTATTGCTCCCGGTACTTCTGAGCTCTATGTCGCCAATGTGGATGGTTCCAATGAACGACCTTTACTATCTAATTCTATCTACGAATACCATGCCACCTTCTCCCCTGATGGGGAATGGATCACCTTCACCGGAGAGCGCAACGGCGACGGCAACTCAGATATCTACCGCGTTCGAACAAATGGCTCCGATCTCGAAGAGCTAGTAGCGACATCCTCTGTGGAAGACGGAGCCGTCATGTCTCCCAATGGCAAGCAAGTCGCCTATGTGTCCACTGCCAATGGTTATAAAGCCAACATCTGGGTCTTGGATTTGGAGAGCGGCAAGAAATGGAACCTGACCGGTACTGCCTCAACTGCCGCCAATGCCACTCTACCTGACGGATATTTCCGTCCCTCGTGGTCCCCCGACGGCCAATGGATTGCTTTTTCGTCGGATCGTAACTCGGGATGGTACGGCCATGGAGACCCAACCTTCCTGGGTGTGACAGGATGGGAGCATACACAGGAGCTCTCCATCTACGCTATTCGCCCCAATGGATCTGATTTCCGTCGCGTGGTCGCAAGGTCAGGCTACTCTCTGGGCTCCCCCAAGTGGTCTCCCAGCGGCAAGCGTATTCTCTTCTACGAGATGACCCGTGAAAACACATGGAACTCTCACCGTCCCGAGTCCATCGACTCTGCAAACTCCACCCTGGTTTCCGTAAACTTTGCCACAGGCGTTGATCGTCGCGTTGAAGTCGAGGGATCTGGCGTGAAGATCTTCCCCCAATACCTCTCTGAGAGCACGATTGGCTACTTCGCCAAAGGTGCCGGTAAGGAAGGTCTCCACACAACCAATGGTGGATTCGTGAACACCTCGAGCGTCACCATTCGTTCCCCTGCCTGGTCTGCCGATGGCAAGAAAGTGGTCTACGAGAAGACCACCTGGTCTGTCCGTCCCATGGACAAGAAGCTTTACAGCTGGGACACGGACTGGGAGTACCGCTTCACCGATGTTTTCCCTCAGCTGTCCAACACAAACATGATTGCCATGACTGAGAAGCAACTGGGCAATTCCTCTATCGTCTCCCTGAATGTCAACGGCACAGACGAACACCTAGTCTACAATGACATGGTCTCCGATTTCCTAGACTCATCCTCCATTGCCATGGGCACAGCAGGTGCCTTCAACCCTGCCTGGTCCCCCGATGGAAACTGGCTCGCCTTCGGTGTTGGCTTCTGGTTCCAAGGCCGAGCCATCGGTGGCGGCTGGCTGGTGCGTGCTACCGCCAATGGTACATACTCAGAGGTATTGCTGGACAGCCAGACAACCCTGGAGAGTAACAGCAGCGTCATCAACCACGGATTCCCCAGCTACTCGCACGACGGCAAGAAGATTGTTTACCGTGTTTGGGGAACAAACTCGACCCTGGGTGACAAGTCCCAGCTTGGTCTCCGCCTCCTCGATTTACAGACTCGAAAGATCTCCGTCCTCACTACGGAGTGGGACAATCTACCCTTCTTCTCCCCAGATGGCGAGAGAATCGTTTTCACCCGCAAGACCAGCTCTTACAACTATGATATCTGCACGATGCGCTCTGATGGTTCGGATATCAAGGTGCTGACCAGTAGTGGTGCCAATGATGCCCACGCTGTTTGGACTTGGGATGGTCGCATTGCCTACTCTACTGGCATGTTCGGCTTCCAGTATGAGTGTGCGCTGTACGATCAGACTTTCCAGCCTTATGGTCAGGTTGTTGTTATGGATGCTGACGGGTCAAATAAGCGTGTGCTTACTGACTCTATTTGGGAGGACTCTATGCCGATGTTTGTGCCAAATGAGAAGCTTCATGGTATCCACAAAACGGCTAGACGGGTTTATCGAGGTCGTTTCTGAGGCGGGAATGACGATAGTTGGTGGTCACAGCCAGTTAGAACAAGTTTTCATCTTGGTCAATGTAGGTTGGTTGTTTGTGTTTATAGTTTGTGGTGTTTCAAAAATGTGTTTACGACGATATTATTATATCCTTCTTGATGTTTATACAACCCACCTAAGAGCTCAGCATCCCCTAGACTTCGCAGTAGCAAACATATATAAAGCGCGCATTCGACCTACCAATGATTAGGTCATACGTAGAAATGGAGAGCACGGAGCACTACCGAGTAGAATCGAAGACAGAGCGAGAGTAGACTAGAAAAATGACGCCCAACTAGGAGACCCTTCCCCATAGACCCTGAACATGACCCCCAGAAACCCCCGGATTCCCGCTAAACTTGGCCCCGCTTTTCCCTAAGCCCCTCGCTAATCGCACGGCGCCACTGATGCTACTCTTCATGCAGGAGCAAAACAGGCTAAAAGCCATCAACTCCATCTACACTAGGTGCTTCGCCAGAATGGCATGGCAGTCATTATCAGAATCAGGGCTTCCGCTGTTTTGGGGTTCTCAGATGCCTTTTAGCAAAACAATGGCGTGTCGCATGTATATTACTCATCAGACATGACACACATGGACACGAACTATGTCTCGGAGTGTGTTGACCTAAAAAAAAGAAGTGATCTACACAGCACTAGCCTATTTGAAAGGCGCAATATATGACCAAAGGGGCAAACTCCCGACGGGTTGAGCAGCTCTTTCCAGCGATACTCGGTAAAATGGATTTGCATGGCTGAAACGTAGGTAGAATACATCATGAATTTTCCCGGTTAAGCCACTTGGAGTTTATCCATTAAGGCAAGAAGCAATCTATCTGTCTTGTTCGGGGTATTCTTGCCAAAGCCAAGCCTTATGTAGGATATAAACCCGTCTATCCTTCGTTTTTCGAATTATTGCCTCACGCCTCTCTAGCTTTGAACACATCGCTTTTCAGAAAACACACCGCAATGAGACCCCCAATGACTAAAGCTCACTTGCTGTCGTCTGGCATTGTTTTGCTGGCATCGGTGCTAGGTGTTTCGGCGGACTGCGATCTTCCCTCCACCTACCGGTGGACATCAACTGGTGCGTTAGCCGAGCCCAAGTCAGGATGGTCGGCGCTCAAAGACTTTACCAATGTGGTCTACAACGGCCAGCATCTGGTGTATGCATCGGCACCTGATACATCAGGGAGCTACCGCTCAATGAACTTTGGCCTGTTTTCGGACTGGTCTAATATGGCCTCGGCGAGCCAGAACGTCATGAATGTCGGCACTGTTGCCCCTACGCTCTTCTACTTTCAACCGAAGAACGTTTGGATCTTGGCCTATCAATGGGGCTCCACCGCGTTCTCCTACCGAACTTCAAGTGATCCCTCGAACGCCAATGGATGGTCTTCGGAGCAGCCGCTTTTCTCGGGAAGCATCTCCGGCTCTAGTACTGGCGTTATCGATCAAACAGTCATCGGCGATGCTAAAAATATGTACCTATTTTTTGCGGGAGACAATGGCAAGATCTACCGCACCAGCATGCCTATTGATCATTTCCCAGGCAACTTCGGCACGGTGTCAGAAGTGATCATGAGTGACACGACCGCAAATCTGTTTGAAGCAGTTCAGGTGTACACCATCCAAGGCCAGAACAAATACTTGATGATCGTCGAGGCAATGGGGGCAAATGGACGGTATTTCCGCTCCTTCACTGCCAACAGTCTTGACGGTTCGTGGACAGCGCAAGCGGCAACCGAGGACCGGCCATTCGCTGGAAAGGCCAACAGCGGCGCTACATGGACCAACGACATTAGCCACGGAGATCTTGTTCGCCACAACCCTGATCAGACGATGACCGTTGACCCATGTAACCTTCAGCTTCTCTACCAAGGAAGAGACCCCAACGCTAACAGCAACTACAACACTCTACCTTACAGACCGGGTGTCCTGACACTGCAGCGATAATGGAAACATTCCATTTGCTCTCCATTCATATACTTTGGCGAGTAAATATGATCCAACCCAATCAAGTACTCTGACAGTGAGGAGCCTACAAATTCTATGTATTTAAATGTTTGGAATGGGAAAGGGGATTGACGGCTGGAAGTCTTTGCAGTGAAATATAATTCCAGTAAAGATCATAGGGAAAGAAAAACTTAAAGTTCTATCTAGCAAATATGTAGTTTCTAGTTCTGTAACTAAATGTCTAGGGCAGAGTTGAGTTTAATTACATGAGCTATCATTTGCTTTACACACATTGAAAATTTGTTTGAGTCGTATTGCCTATTATATTACTCAGATTGTGTCCAACAGTGTCAACCCTCTCATGTTGAATCCAACTGCTGGGAACTGGCGTGGGAAGTCTCTTTCCATTGAAGTGACTTTTCTTTCCTCTTCTTTGTCTGGACCTTTTTTCTGTCTTCCTGAAACGAAGGACAAAACATATGAGGAGTTCGGCATTTTGTTCGCTCGCCGAGTGAACACCCGGAAAGAGGCAAACATAGGGATAATGCTTACGCTGAGGATGAACAAGTCCTCCAGAAAAACGACTGAGAAGTAGCGACCTCTATAAAAATTTCTATCATTTTCAGAGGAGGAAATAAAGGTTTCGAAGTGGAGCTCTTCCACCGATCGGGCCCAGAAGCTACCGAGATGTATTGAAAGTTTAATTTGTCAACAATTGTTCAAGCAGCGTAGCCGCGCACCATTAGTCCATGTAAATAATCATGATACTTTGTAGTTGACGTAGGAGGGAGGATTGGCCCTGTTATGTTTTCAATGTACTTGGTGACTCTCATATGCGACCGATCGCACAACCCAATCTGACTGCTGTCCCCATCGTATCCTCCTTTCATTCTCAACATCATGATTCTTGTTGGTTTAAGAACTTTCTAAAAAGGCACTTAGTTTAAGGAAAGCTAAAATTTCACGAAATGGCACACCTAACCAAGCCTGCGTGGGAGTATTAATTGACCCGGACTTACAGCCTAAGAGCCTCCAACCTGAAGAGTGAGGGGTACGCGCCTCAGCTGCAGAACTTCTGCATCCAGCCTCCTCAGCTTTTGAAACTACTCCCTCACTCGTTTTATCCAGTCGAACCTGGGTCTATGTACACTCGTTAATCATTTTTCATGTTTCATTTTGATTGCGGTTGAACATATCTGCAGCCCAAAGCTATCCCAGTCCCCTGGCGAATCGGTTGGAGACGGCTCGCCCATATGCCAGTCTCATCCTTGAATCTCAATCAATCTGCTGTCTCGGCACCATGGCAGATCCTAACAGTTTGTTTTGCGGCGCTGCTGCTTCTCGGGTCAGTTGCATTATATCGACAATGGAGTTTTCTCAACAGCATAAGGTCGCTGACTATTATTTTGGGCGTTAGTTACATGATCTTGGCCGTAGCAATCAATAACACCCAAGACGCATTGCGAATCGACATCACTGGATCTATAACTTGCGCGTTCGTTTTTGTCGGAGTATCCTATATCGCATCGGGGCTGGTCGTTTTCTGTCAGCGACATCAGAAGCTTTTCCTAATTCACTACATCTTTTGGTACGTTTTGTGGTCGCACGAGGCTGATGACGCAGCTAATGATCTCAGTCCCTACTCGATAATAAACCTGCTCGCACTTTTTAATGCCCTTTTCCATGTCCTTGCGCGCGACCTACCCCTAAACACTCTACGTGTCATGAGCATTGGGCTGCCCGCTGCGTTTTTTGCATTATATCCTCTCGCAGCGCTGTTCGTCTACCATGACAACAGCTCTAGCCGTCCCCACCCAGAGGATGGTACTCCCTTGCTTAGTGACGAAGAAATGCAGCGAAGACAAATGCTTCGCTTGCTTCAGGATCAGTCAAGTGCGCCGTCGCCAGATCTTATTCGAAACACCTATCGATTTGATTTACCTCAGCACGACGCGGCTCCGAGATATTAGAGCGATCGCGTGGTCACAGTCCGTAGAGAGGAAACTGCACGGTCGCATCAAGGATAGGAACATATGGAATTTGTTCATATAAATATTAAAAGTAACATGATACTGAAAGCCAACACATGTTTTCCGTAGAGGCATGTGTCGGGAAGTACATAGTCTCAGTACCCGTGCCGGCAAGCAACTTAATCAGCACGCATTGGACCTCGGCTCTTTCCGCATTTAAAAGTCCAGGAACCCGCCGCTGTCCGCGACGTCGACCTCATTAATTCCCTAGACGATCTGTACTACTCGGACAACATGGCTAAACGCGTGACCATCTTTGATCCTCCAGAGCAGGATCATTCCAAGGCTCTCATCGAGAATGTACTCGATCTGACGCCTTTGGCGGACCTCGGCCCAGTATGCATACCATCGCACAACTCGAGCACCTGCCCCAGTCTAACAGATCACTTTTCTATATAGGATGTCTTCACAAATACTCGCCCCCTATGGCATCCCCCCGGAGCTCGCGGCATCTACGGTGGTGCAGCGATCGCGCAGTCCCTATCAGCAGCGATGCGAACAGTCCCCACCGACTACGCCGTCCACAGCATGCACTGCTACTTTGTCCTTGCTGGTGACTCCGAGATTCCGATCTTATATCATGTCGAGCGAGTCCGCGATGGAAGAAGCTTTATAACGAGAACCGTGCAAGCGCGACAACGGGGTCGGCCTATCTTCACTACAACGCTGAGTTTTAGTCGCGTAGGCAGTGGTGGCCAGAAGACGCTCAACCATGCTACCCCGAAGCCGGATGTGGGATTACCGACTGATGCTGAACCGGGAAGTATCAGGGCTCTGAGCGATGCTGGCGGAGGTCCCTTTGAATCGAGGAAGGCGGGCATTGTGAACCGTAAGTCTCGGACCGGAGCGTCCACGCCATGCAATTCATAATGACAAAACTCATAAAATAGGCGACTCTCCCAACCCAGAAGACAAGAAAATTCGACGGTATATCCGCGCTCGTGGTCACATCTCCGATGAAGGCGCCTATCAAGCACACCTGTCCGCTCTCGCCTACATCACCGATAGCTACTTCATCGGAACTGTCTCCCGCGTCCACGATATCCCCCGATTCTCATCGCGTGCTGAACTGGAGGGTCTTTTGAAAGCTCTCAAGAACCCATCAGACCTCGACGACGAGGATATCACGCGAGCGTTGAAGGAGCTGAAGGAAGAGGAGGCCGCGGAATTGCGCCGCCGGATAGAAGGTGCCCTTGTCAAAGCCACCAACGTCAAATCCGAGAAAGATCATAATGAAGTTGGCATGATGGTCAGCCTGGATCACTCGATCTATTTCCACAACCCCATGGCATTCCGGGCGGATGAGTGGATGCTGTCTGAAACAGAAAGCACCTGGGCTGGAGAGGGACGAGGATTAGCACTCCAGAAGATTTGGTCCAAGGATGGACTACTTATTGCTACTTGCACACAAGAGGTATGTGCATTGATCATGCTTTTTTTATTGAGTTATTGGCTCATGCTGACATTGATAATAGGGTGTCGTGCGTTTAAAGCAAGATAAGCCCCCAAAGTCAAAGATCTAAGCACCTTGGCTATACCCCTACTGACCGACTTGCTTCTTCCTCTTGGATCATCATTGTTTTCCGATTCTCCTGACACAACACAACCCCCATAGATTTGGGTTCACTACCCATTACTTTTGACTTCATGTGATTCTATTTTGTACCCAAAGTTTGCCTAAGCTTGGTTCGAGCTCTCTGCACAAACGTTCTTTTTAATATAATATATAGAAATAACCATATATTTGTCCCCTGATATCTCTTCGCACCTTCGACAACAATATTGATTCCTGCAAAACCAGATCAATTCATCCCTGGATTTGACTTTTGAATCTGAATATGACGGGAACAAACAGCTCAAGACTTGAACCAACAAAAAAACAAACTTTTATGTTGTTGACAAAAAGCCGCCGATCCATTTTTGATCTTCCAGAGCCAATATGCGAAACAGACACATCAAATAACGTATAGTGTTACAAGTCAACTCAATCTTCATACTTCTCGGGCTCAATCTTGCCCTCCTCCACCTGCTTTTGATAGTATTCCAAAACCTTTGCCCCCCACAGATGTTTCCCCTTATACTCCCCAACATAGTCTGGCCAACTCCTCATTTCCTTGGCAAGATTATTCAGCTCTTGCATGGGGAGCTCCTCCAGAGGCGTGAGATACGTCTTCACGCCAAAGACGATAGCTCCCGTTCGTGGCAGTCGACGGAATGTTTGTCTTTCACGGCGAACGAGGATTTCCGAGGGGAGGGGGTTGACTAGCTCCTTTTCGCAGAGTGCCTTTGGTCGGTACAGAATCTCTGTTAGGTCCTCGTCTGGTCGCTTTACTTCGATGAAGTAGTTTGAGCGCTCCATTGGCGAGGTTGGAGTTAGACGGGCGAGGAACCTGGGTGCTTGGTTAGTATTCTTTGCCTGTGGCGGCCATTCCTCAGGGCTTGTATGATTACTTACTTGTCCACAGAGTTGGCAACGTGCTGGTGCCATAGAGGTACTGGGCCATGCAGTTGAGAGATGGTCCAGCCGATTCTCTGTTGCACTGTCCATCCTGTAGGGAACAAACTGGCGCTCGCTGCTCTGAAATGGTGTCAGTGTTAAGCATTGGCATCGACACTGGTTCTGACTTACAGGTAATATTCACCCTCCCCGTTCATCATCAAAACGCTGAGATCCTCCATTGTAAGACGCACGGCAGCCTCGAGTGCATCGGCTACGCCCTCATTGGGGTCACGTCCACTGACTGTGAATTTGTCGCCGGTCATGCAATTATCGACGATCTTTTGGTTGTTTTTTATGTTCATATCAAAATTGTTGGGGAATCTTTCGCAGAGGAAGTCTGATACCTCCTCCAGTGCCTCGTGGCACGCATCGACAGACTCTGGGAGGCACTGCAAAACCTCGGATCTTTTCTCGTGCAACAACTGGTTCCGTACACGGTGCTCATCCATATAGTTTTTGTCGAGAGTGAGCCAATTTTGTGCGTCGAGTTTGCGGATGTCCATCATGACACGATACCGCTCCCTCCCTTTGATGGGCTGCGCTGGGTAAGGTGCCATGGACTTGACATCTGATGAAGTGGAAGCATTATTTAAACAATACTTTTCCGACTTTGGTGACAGCCACTGAAACAGCTGTTTGTGATGTTTTACGGCGAATAGAACGACGAATATCGGAATCGCCACGAACGAAAAGGCTGTCATACTTTTCCCATTCAATGTGCTCACGTTATAAGGCGTTGGAACTTGTCTTCTTTTGGAAAATGAAGCCGACTAATCAACAACGCTGAATTTCAAAGGAAGGAAAAAGAAAGGAAAAAACGGATGATCATGGAGTAAGTCACTGGAGCAGCTGGACATAAATACGACCTCGGAGACATGAATAATGACCTAATCCGGGACTAGGCAGCAAACCTGAAAGATCACCAGACAATCAAGTCAGCTCTAGTTCTCGGGTGGAAAATGGATAGCTCTGGCAGCTGCATTCCACATTCCTGATCCAGCGGAACTGTGCCTGCGGAACTGTTGTGATACGCTCAAGGATTCCCCGCAAAAAAATAATAGCCCAATTTCGCCGGGGAGTACTGACAGCCACATGATCTCAGAGTTTTTTTTTTCTAATTATTGTTTTGTGTTCAGTTCGAGGTATGCCGGCTGTGCACCAGATCAGCTTGAGTGGAGGCAAACTCTCAAAATCCCAAAGTTTTGACTGGCTCCCGGCTGGATATGAGAAGGCACCCCCACACAGTTAGATCTTTCACTAATCCCAGAATAGCAATCTAGGCACAAAATCCCCCAGCCTTGAATCGTCAAGCTCACGTACATTGTCAGTGCGCGGCGCCCCCGTGAACTGCTAGCCCTGCCGAACAACAATGTCAACATGTTAAAGGCAAAATTAGGCCCCGGATACCCTCGGAGGAAGTAATTCCCAGCACATGATTCGTACCGCGCGACGCGCTTTGCCAATGTATGTACCCAAGGCTGAAGGGAGCGAATGTTTGATCTGAGTCACGCAGGTCCAGCTCCTGTTGATCGCCCGCAGCACCCGCGCCTTCGGGGATACTTGAGCTGACTGGCTCGGGGCCTGATCTAGTTCAGGTGCACATCACACCGTCACCAAACTAAATCGATGGGCACATGGAATGGGCTGACGTATCACAGCCCTGGAGGTGGTGGGGGGCTCTAAGGGGCTGTTCTCCAACGGCCCAGTGCCTTCACTTCCGCGGCCCCGATTTAAAGATACCGGGATTAGTCCTATTACTTCTGTTTGACGTGTTTGAGATGCAATTGCGTTCGGCTAACACATTTAATACGTCTACATTCTATACTAAAACCCGGTCGGACACCACGAAAACTAGGAAACAGGAAGTAGCCCAAAATTGTAAATCAACACTGACTGGAATAGAATTGCCACTATTTGTCCCACCTTGGGGTCACCAGGCCCAGAACACGCCATACTCCACAGCTCTGGGGCTCCCGCTGCAACCGCTCATCCCCCCTTTCGCGCAAAGCGCGATTGCCGCTATGTCTTACTTGTCTTTTTTTCGGTGCATTCCCTATCTATTTTCTGTTGTTTTGGATTGAAAGGCTATGATGATTATTATGATTAGTCTATTTTCTATTTTGCCCTTTTTCGCCTCCTCGTCATAGCCCCACGCTAATGCCCGTCACATATTGAAACACAGACCACCATATCTAGGGTCAATCGAATCGATCTGCAATGTATAACAGACATTTGCCACCGCTACTTGGAATTGAAACGATTTGTTTGCGCATTTTATTCATGACCAGAAAAGGCAGAAAAGGCATCCAAATACATAATTCTTTCTTAGTTCCTACTTGACGCGTTTCCGAATCCAAAGAACCCACCCCACCTAATCAATGCCTCTGATTTACCGTGTCCAAGCCTTTACCTCTCTGGGCGGGGTCTGGACCTCAACCCGGTCCTAGCTTCGACTCCTCTCCCTGATCCTGGCCCTAGCACTGACGATTAGAGTGGAGATCAATGCAAGTCAACCCTGTCAACGATTGTTAACCACCCCATCAGGTCCGTAAATTCTAACGATCTCCAATTCTTTCAACTGCGCACAGACGTTGAGATCAGCTGCCTCGATGCAATCCCTTTCACTGAATGACGGTAATTGCATCCGTCGGAAAGGCAGTTTGGACCGAGAGGGTGGCCGTCCGCGTTCCTTGATTGGCCGAGGTTGCCTGCCGTTCGGCGCTGGGTATACTGTGTTAATTTTTTTCGTAAGGCTAGCGTTCCTTACATTAGTATCGCCTGGGGCGTCTTTTAGCGATAAAAGGGTAAAGCCACAATCTGCATTCAGATCAGTCGTGAAATAAGCCAGGTAGGGGTATCTGTCAGCTATTCCTAGAATGTTCACGGGTGGTGGTACAAGAGTATTGCTTTTCTATCAGCCACGTTCTTGGTAGTCACGTTGTGTCTGATGTATATGTTACATTGGATCTAGCTGATTCGTCGGATCATAAGCCATGTCGAATGTGGAAACTTGTCTTGCTCGCTTGTTTGCCTCGAGGGAATATGACGTTGTTCGACAGTTGATGGCTCGAAATTCCTGGATCTGGTTTGTTTTGACCTCTGTATGTGAGGTGCTTGTTTCGCATGTCATAGCGACATGGACCTGGAAGAAAATGACAAGAATGAAAGTCGTAGTAAATCAGAAAATGTATATTTAATTCTCTGAATTGAACAAGTGGCATTCAGCTGGATATTACCAAGCGCCATAACATAAATTCGTCCCCCTTGCAATGTCATCACGCTTTATAGATTGAATTCTTCCCCAAGGAGACGTTCGCCTAGATGCCACAGCCTATCGGCAGTCTCTGCTCCGCAAGCATGATTCGCTGGATTCTTCAATTGACAATCACTGAGATATGAGCCCGACAGTTCTAAAATGACGACTTTGTTAGTAACTCGAACCAGGTTAGACTTCAGATATATAATGACCTTCAAGGGCTGGATCCAGAGCAGCGACCAGAGTAGTGGCGCATCCTTGTTGAAGCGTCTTCCTCTCTGCGACTTCAAAATCAGGAACTTGAAAGGTCAGCTAGCTCTGATGGTACATAACAGCAGGATAACAACACCAACGCACTTGATTGTGACTTTGCTCTAGCATCTGACATTGACTCGGAATCGACATGGCGCTGTAGACCTGATGCAATACCTAATTCTGTTAAAAGCCGCACCTGTACAGTCCTTGATATCACTTACTTCCGGGATGAAGCGCAAAAGAAGCAACTTCACTACTTGGGATACTTCTTGCGAGGTGGATGGCCATCAGGATTAATGCTGTTTTTGACTGGCCATATGCTTTCCATGTATCATAGGCAGTACCACCCTAGTGGACGGAGGTGCGGCATTAGAAAAGATGCACTCAAAAAGACTCATGGTGGTTGCTCACCTCAAAATCTAGATCTTCGAATCGAATACCCTCAAACCGATGTGCGGAGCTGCTCACGTTGACAATACGTGCGCCTGGTCCCGCAGCGCGGAGCTTAGGGAGAAGAAGCCCAGTAAAGAGGAACGGACCGAGGAAATTTGTACCAAATTGTACCTCAAATCCATCTTTGGTGGTGCTATACGGACAAGCCATGATGGCGGCATTATTGATGAGAACATCAATGCGATCGAATTGACCGTTTATTTCTGCAGCGGCTCGTCTTATTGAGCCTTGATTACTTAGATCCAAGGAAACGAAAGTTGCTTTGATCTTTGGGTTGATCTCGGTGATCCTTTCGATGACTGGTTGAATTTTGGTACGATCCCGGCCTGCAAGAATGATAGCTGATGGAGATCTGGACGCTAGACAGAGTGCAGTTTCTGCACCAATTCCTCCGTCACTTGGGCCGGTGATTAGGACTGGATCTCAGATTAGTTGGTGTCGTTGGGCGAAAGTGAGTCCTCTTACATGTCCGTCCCTCGATCCTCTCTGCAAATTCGTGCACGACTTCATTACCAGTAGATGACCACGACCAGCTAGACATTCTGGTAGGGTGTTTTATGTATGTAAAATGAACCTTATTCTTGTATCTTTTGTAAATGGGCCACAAGTGGTTTATATAGGTAGCGCTTACTGGGCAACCAAAAGTTTAAGCCTCCGGATATCGCTTTTAAAACTCCGTCATCTCCTCAACTCCGTCACTGTACATGAAGGCCTTTCCTTCCCCTGTACGTTGATTTTCGCTTGCAACTTTTTTCGCACGAGGTCAATACTCAGATAAATAACACAGAACAATTATTTCCTCAATGTCCCGTCCAACTCATGATGGGCGCACGACACGGATTCGGGCCCGCCATGTTACTCCCACGGCGCACTGACTAATGACCCGAGTCTTGAGTTCTAGAGGTCGTCATTCATTTCCAAATATAATCTTAAACCTAATGTGCAATTAGCTACCTGGAACTAAGAATCAGAGCTAGCCACATCCCTCGTATTCAACACCGGACTGATGAAATGTCTCAAACAAAAGTGCATACCGAAGCTATTAAACCAATCTTCCATGCTAGGTACAGAACTCTGCGAGTCCTTAGAAGGATATTTAGTGCGTCATTCGTCGGACGAAGAGACGTCTACCGAGCACGTTTATGATGACCGACCTAGAGATCTTTTTCGGAGCATTGCGGTGATCTTAATTACTACCTCCCCCCGGTATTACTTTTGTCGGGTTGATGGTGGCATGTGGTGTTGGAGCCTGGGGATTGCGCAAGGTTGGAAAGGTTGGGTTGAAGAGGGAGTAAGAGAATGAAGGACAAGTATGTACAGAGGGTGTGCTAGAATAGATAAGTTCGGAGATAGCGAAGTATTCAAGTCAATATTATTAGTGCGCGACCCTTGCCTGATGCGATACTATAATGTCTGGATGGGTTGTAGTGTGCCAAAATACATCAAATGCAGGGAACTTGCGATCATGAGAAAAAGAAAAGATAATTCAAACACCTGCACATGCTTCCGGATTGACTTTCCTGATGCAACTCATCAAGCGTCTATTTTGGTAAACATTAGAGAATAAGTATGTTGCGTATCACCTCATGATAAAATGTCAAAACTTTTGCGCCGCGTTCTATAATAGACGGACAGGCCAACAATGAGTTCTGGAGGCATATGTGAGAAACGAAAACTTCTATCGAATTAACAAATCATCGATGCCTTGTCTGCGTGGCTCCGGGTAGTATCAATCCTCGTCATTGAACCACCAGTATTGCACGATGGGACAGGCTTAAGTTCGTTAGAGCCACTAGCAAGACGCTCTTCTCTTTCCAACTCTAGTCGCTCAACCTCCTTAAGGCGCTTGAGTTCCTGGCAGAACTTGCTATTAGCTCTGATCCGGTCACCATATCGGATAAAGGCAAAGGGAATAATGGAAACAAGCAGACTGAGGAATGCAATAAGACTGCAAGCCCAGGCCACGCCGAGACGGTCGAACATTGGCTTGGCAGCCAGAGGAATCACGGCTCCGAGAATACTTCGCGTGCAGCTTGCAGCAGATTGTGCGCTAGCGGAAAGGGTTTCGTAGGCGTCCGTAAGGTAGTTGAGCATTGCCATGAAAATGAGGAGATATCCCATTCCGAAGGGAATTCCGGAGAGGAAGGGTACAACCCAGTGGATGTTTGGTGAGGATGTCCATCCTACCCAGAACAGGGAGATTACATAAAGAGGTCCTCCGATGCAGGCGAGGGGAAGTCTTCGGTATTCTTCGATGAAGGCCCATTCGGCGTTGCGGGCTTTGGCTCGCGCTAGATAGCCATCGTACCATAGGAAAACTCCGCATGCAAGGATGGCGCCGATGCCGACTATTATAAGTAGGTCAATAACCATTTCCTGGTTTGGCGTAATTTATAGGAACTTACTTGGTAGAAACATTAGACCAGAGACACCAGGGCTCATATTGTAAATGCCTGCAAGGGAAAGTTAGGACCCTTCGCCAAAACGTAACTTCAAATGGTAGTCGGCATAAATCACCAACCTTGGAAAATGATAGGGTACGCCTCGAAATAGAGGTAGAAAATCGCGTATGCAAGCGCGAGATACAAGGAACTCAGAGAAACGATATACTCGTGCATAATCATGCGGAAAGGTCGTGATATCGTGATGAGGAACATCTCTCGTAGGTTGCGGCTCTCCACGTCCAACGGCGAGACAATGCTCGAGTTGCCAGTATCTTTGCGTAGTTTGTGCGCACGACGCTTCAGGATCACCGGTCCATAGGTTTCTGGCATGAAGACGACCAATGGGAGAGTCGCTCCCGAGCAAATTAGTCCGATCCAGAAACACCACCGCCAGCTAACGACAGCAACAAAACCCGATACCCAGGGTCCTATGATGGGTCCAAAAGTTGTGCACTATACCGAAGTTAGCTTTCAATCTCAGACGAACTTTGCGTAGGCAAGATGTGAAAGAACTTACGGCCATAAAATATGCCATCAATCGACCTCGAAGCGTGGGATCATCATGGACATCCGCGAACAATCCACCGACAGTGGCAATAGGCGCCGAGGCTACCATACCGTTGAGTAACCGGAATATGAGCAATGAGGTATATGAATCTGCCACCGCACATGCCAGCGTGAAGATCATGAAGCCACAATAAGCTATAAGCAAAGGTGGCTTCCGCCCGAAGTACTCAGAGCTGGGACCCCATAGTAAAGGTCCCAAAATGTAACCGATGAGAAAGATAGAAATTGGCAACACTAGAGCTGCTTGGTTGGTGATATTAAATTCGTCGGCGATCTGAGGGATGGCGTTGCTACAGATCGATGAGCCGATCGTGCTGTTCATGACCTGCATGACACCAGACGCCAGGACCAAGAACTTTCTTCTCTGTTGGGAATATTAGAAACCCGTTAGAGTTCTGATGGAACACTTGATGAACATACTCTTCCCCAATTCACGGGATTTTCTGGGTCATTCTGTCCGAAGGAAACAACTGTTTTGGAAGCCACACGACGAAACCGAGAGTATGAAGGGTTTTCATATCGTTCCTGAATAGGCTCATGATTGACTTCTGAATGTTGGTCCTCAGATTCGCGTGAACTGTGCTGTGACTCATTGGATGGCACCTCTACATCCTCTATGCGCCAACTTCAGTACTTTGACCCCCTATAATACAAAGTAGGGACTGACCTGCTGTTGGCATGACCTCTAGAATGTTCTCTTCGGCAGTAAAGTGGTCCGGCATTGTGGTGACCTTAGCTCGCCCATCAGGTTGGTGATTTGTAGGCTAAACGAAGATCCAGGCGGGACGTCAGAATTATATAAAGGCTCAAAGTTGAAAAAACCTGCCCCCACAGGGACCCAGTTGATGCTTGAGTCAGACAAATTAGAATCGCCTTCATGTGGATTCGGTATCCACATCCGTCAGGCAGGTCTTGCCTCGACGCCCTAGGTTTGACAAATGAAGTCTGTGTGCGAAATTGTTCTGGTTAATACAATGAGAAAGGGTCTAGCTTCCCCAGTCTAATTGGGTATCTGGTGGTGCTGATCAGCCAAGTAAATATCTGGCTCGGTTAGGACGGCTTCTTCCCCAAGTTTTGGGCGCAAAACAGAAGCCAAGATTTCGTGGATTTCCCAAGTGGCAACCTTGGGATGCTACTATATGCATTATCACATGGCAACTCGCACAATACACCAACAGACATGGCCTAGATAGGCCATCATATGTTGTTTGCGATAAAACAAACGCAGACGGCTAGGGTGAAGCCAGCAAAAATTTGACGCAAAATTTCTCTTGACCGCATGCATCTGATCACTTGTGCCCGAATGCTTCAATTCGTGTTGAGGGGTTAGAGCCTGCTGATCAATCGATCGGTCTTGGATCGATAATCGCACTAGGGAGCTAGCTCCCTTATCATGTCATTTAGGACTAATGAACAAGACCCAAGGGAACACCCGTTCCCATGATATAGTAAGCGGGGGACTAGTTGGCCAATTCGAGCCATAACCAACTCTCAACAGGAAAAACAGGAAACCCCTGTAGCGGGGACGCGCCAATGCTGGGGAATGTTCGGGAACGGGGGTATTCCGCACAGCTTGGGTTGTGTCGGCATAGTGTCCGACAGGGGTCCACAGCTGGTGGACAACAGCGCTGTTTTTGGAAATTGCCGGGGATATATATATACATATATGTATGTATACCTATCTCTTGGTTATTGTTGATGCAAGCCTTTGTGCAGCCCGTTTGTTTGTTGGGCTGGAATCGGCAAACCATGCCAAGCCAGAATTCTCCGGCCTCATTCCCGGTTGCGTCCCGACGCGTTCGGACTTCTGGCCGATCTTAATACACTTCTGTGAGAAACTCTTCCGCTCCAAAGCAACGATATTGATTAGTGCTCCATAGCACAATAAGTGCTGGGTGCTGGGTATTCCAAACCTGAATAAGGGCTAAATGAGATTTCATCAAGTCTACGCACCTACGTAACTTGAGTAGAGAGCAGGCATATTATCTACCGCTGTCGACTCGAAATCATAACAAAATAGAACCACACATAACGTCCAGTGAGAAGTCTAGGACAGAGAACCATGACCACAGTTTCGATATTGCCAATATCCCTACCCAGGAACAAGACTTGTATGAATGCCTTCGCAACTTGCCTCGCAAGCAACGACAATTAGATATTAATGACAATGATTGTCTATACATGAAATTTAGCTCTGTCTCGCTTGAGCCATCCATCACAGAGTGTATATATTCTCGTTGCTGTAATTTGTCGATCATTAGCAGTCCGATAATTAGACCAACATGTCTGGTTCAACAAAAACTCGAAACTCACAAAGGACGATAAAGATGACGTCTCCCCTCCGCTCTCGAGTTGACCCAGACACTTACACTCATAGCAGCGACCGGGAAAATTCCATGACCGGACCGATCGATCAAGACTGTTTCATCCCGCCACTCCAAGATGTCGGTCCACATCTCGCCAGCGTGTTTGAGGCCAATGAACATGCGCTTGTATGAAGAGTGGCCATTGCTAAGAATACAAGCAAGGC